TTATACATTGGGTTATGATAATTTTTGGTTATGTGCATCATGCCATCAGGGATGATGAGGCCTGGCAGGGGCCGGCGGGGGACCCTCATGACCCTCGGAGGGGCGGGTGGAGGGTCCAAGGTAATGGACCACCCGGAGGGTCACTGCCAGGTCTAGTGATGATGTCGTCAGACTTCAGTCTTTCTTTATTTACGAGACGTAGTTAGCAGTGTGTTTTTAGTTAAGGGTTAGTGTATTGATACTGATACAGGAATATGCCAGTCCAGACACAAACTAGTTTGTCTTGGCAGATGTTCGTCATAGGTCTTGTCTTTATCCCATTGATATTCCTGGGGCAAAGGTTGAGTACAGGGATCTAGATATCTACCATGCAGAATATATGACTCTGGAAAAATCTGTAGTTGCGCGAAGAGAAGGGAAATTATCTACTGTGCTACTGAGACTGAAGGACTAGGAGCAAACAGAGGGGTCACATGACCTCGAACAAAGGTATAGTGTCTAGTCGAAGTTGGCTTGCGGGTTTGGGTATATTGTTGAGTAGAATAGATGAGAAGGGACTGCAGTTGAACCGTGTAGCACAAGGGCTTCGGAAGTATGTATCCCGGGGTAGGTGGCGAACATTGTGAGTCATGTTCACATGGTTCAAACTCTTTAGGCTGAGAGATGTAACCATGTGGTACTGGTTGCCGTTCATACCTGAAAACGATCTCGCCAGATCTCCCGACCAATTTAGATACCTTGCTAGAACACCCAAAGGTGGTATACGGTAATTTACAATGACCCAATCAGACACGAAAGCCTAATACGTTCAATACTACGATACGGCAAAGCAGGGGCTAGTTTCTAATAAAGATTAGAGTGGTTTCGGGTACGGGTCGGGAAACAAAGCGTGAGTGTCTATGCGGAATCCGTTTTCGAAATCTACTGTACCCTCGGGGTCTCAGTAATTTCCAATCTATTGATATAATGGCTGTTCCAATTCGCGGACGGAAAATATTGCATACAAGATGTTAATTGCAAATGTTGTGGTCTGGTGTACGTTCCCCTTTGTTCGTACAACTCCATGTATGTTGTTTCGGTGTATCTTTATCGAGCTCCTCCAGACCCTGGTCTGTTACTAGCATTGGAGATGGATAGTAGGAGCCCTTGATAGGTCAGTCGTCTTTTTTTCAGAGGCATAGTTGGAGAAATACCAACTGCGAGCCAAGGAATGCCCAAAATGAAGTATCCGCTGATAGGATAAATACTTGGCCGGTTTCCCGAAGGCGTATGCCCACACAGAGGTCTGCATCGCACATCTTGCTATATTCGGACGCTTTTTTCATTAAACTTGATTTGCGACGACCTCGTTTTTGGCGCATGGACTTTTTGACAGATTGAGATCGATTGGAATGAGTGGAAGGTGCGGAAGCCATGCTAAGAGATTCCTCAAAGCGCCGCTATTGGGAATGGCTGAGGAGATCAGGGAACTAAATTTATAGATTAAGTAGTTCTCAGGGCTTCTGAAAACCTTCGAATGACTGCAGTTTTAAAGCGTTGAAAAACAGTGTCGCTCTCCAGAAACCGTGGTTTTCAGAGTTATGGCCCTTGCAGACCTGAAACTGTCCTTGGTGAGTTTATTGACACGGCCATATCGATGCCTGCCGCACTAAAAACCGGTTGGCTTCTCCAAAGTTCAGGTCAACGATATCATAGTAACGCATCAAGCTGAGGTCAAGTTCTACTAGAAAATCGTTTTGGAGCTAACCGATGTATATGTAAACAGTGTAAGAATCGGTCAACTGCGGGTGTGAATAAAACCACCATTATCTTCTTGTCAGAAAAATAAATCCTTATTTTGTTAAATAATTTCACAACTGGCACCCCTCAAATTCAGGAAAGATTTGATAAAACTTCCGTACTCGGATTTCTGAGCCAATTCATCCACCCTTATTATTTTACCAGCATGCTCTCACCACCCCCAGCTGTAGTACAGTAAGAACGGGGTGAAAATATTCTCGCTGATAGACGTGGGGGGTGGCAGGGTATTAGGGGATGCACGGACATTAAAACAAGTGGAGACAAATAAGCCAATTGAATCCAACAAACACCATCTCCCTTTTGTGCTGAGGTGGTGATCGATTAAACAAGATACAAGATAGTTTCCTCGAACAAGTACAATATAAACGTCTTTCGAGGTCGTCGTGTGCAATGGTTATCACACGTCCAACACACCCGATTTCCACAGTAACATTTCTTGAAAGTCGTCCGTTTTCTCACTCTCTATGACGAGAGCTAGCTCGAACACTTTGAATCGGCCCCTAACGCCATCGAAGATGAGCAGCCTCTTAATTCTTCATAGCTACCACACTTAGTTGCGTTCGCATGTCTTTTTTTGGTCTAAAACCAGCTAGCTGTTTTCTTCGATTAAACTACGATATATTGAGTTAGGGAGCTACATATGTCGCTCCTAGGGTCATATCCGGCCCTAGGATCCATAGCATGGCTCCTAGGCACGCTCTTGGTCGCTCCCAGGAGTCAGACTCAGAGTTACCTGGAGGACCTACAGCTCCTGGGAGTGAACTGGACAGCCCTGGGAACTAGAGTGTGGGCCCTCAGCTATCGATGCCAGTGGATCAGTGGGGTCACCCGCACTTTTTACATTTGGTCCTGGACTCTTGATTACGAATCCTGGGATCACGAAGTCTCCCCGGAATTAAAAATCATTCCCAGAGGTGGGGTATCGGAAATAGAGGAATACAAATCTAGATACTAGGAGCAACCAGGACTAGGAATAATTTATGTCTTTCCAGGAAATTGCAAATAAGGTGTCAGAGATCGAGCATATATGGTAGCTTGGGTGTTTGGTTGCTGACCAAACACTGTGCCTTCTTGGTCAGCTGCCGTAGTGGTACAACCCAAGCACCCACGATCCGTCACAGAAGGTGGCCTGCGTAGGGACACATCAGAGAGTAGGGACTCACTGTAGGGCTGAGGATCGAGTTGTACTAGTATGTGTGTGTGTGTGTGTGTGTGTGTGTGTGTGTTTCTTTTACCCTGATCCCTCGCAATGAAGCGATATGCAGGCTACCACTACTGTGTAATTACATGATGATTTATCCACTGAGATTGTTCCAAACTTCCTAAACGGTGAACTTTGAGCCTCACCTGGTATACAGAATGGTCAAGACACATGGTGGGGTGGATGCCCTTGTAATTTCGATACATTCGACACCTCAATATCACACTAGATAATGTAGGGGAAAAGCATGAAAGCTTGCTAAATAGTGTGCACTTTTCACCGAAAGTTTGACGTCATGCATCGCTCTCAGATTGCTTTCCCAATGAGCCATGAGTCTATCTCAGCATTGAACTTCGAAAAACAAGCAAAGATATGTGGTGACTACGATTTCAAGAAGCACATACAACCCACATGGGCCCGACTGACTCTTGGATACTCTTCACTCGGCCCGTCCCTTCGGCCCTTTCCTGGGATCATTACCCTACCCCACCTTGTCCCCAGTCGCCGTAATTGATTGGGCCGCCCATGGAATCCGGGAAAGGAAAATCCGGTATGCGTTGATTTCGTCCTGCAGATGAGAAAAAAAGGGCGCTTCTAATCACACTACTACCTTCGTGCGGCTGGCTGTATCCTGAGTCGCATTCACCACAACCCTTTTTGATTGCCACAGTGATATACGCAAGGGAAACACTAGCACGCGGGCACCAGCTCGTTTAATCAAAACAAATGTCGAGGACCCATTCGCAGCAATGTGGGCCTACCACATCCGAAAAACCGTCCGACCCAGTATTGCGCTCACGACAACCTGTACGACTGCCTATGACAGCTAATCCATACCTCCAGCACGAAACTCAACATCAAGTTTCTGATATGGGCTACGAAAGTCCCATGCTTTTAGAGCCATCCGATCTTCGATCAACAAGGCAGTTTCCAGAGAGGTTCATAAATCCAAATTGTATGCCTTCGTCCGACAACTATTTCATCGCCAGCCAACTCGTACCTCAAGCGCTACCATTGCGGATGCATTGCCACGCTCCAAATATATCTGGTTCGCGAGAGGACCCTGGACAAGCAACACCGAATCCTACGTCAAGCCAAGACCGCGAAGACGTCGGTCATTCAGTGCGGATAGATGACCTTGGTTTCAAGTATGTAAAGTCCCCTTCTTTTCCTTTCTTTTCGATTCAACATTTCATTTCACTCAGTCGTCAGTCCTTGTGCGGTGTTGTCAATTATCGATAGCTCGGCTCACGCCTGGCTACTAGATGACTAGTTGGCGTATATTCAAATCCTAAAAACTGCTCTGATTTTAATATATCAGTCATAGCAGCGGTCCTGCAGCGACGCCCAGCCCAGTCCATTTCGAAGAAAGGCCAGATAGTTTATTAAATTACCTAGCGCCCGCTAGTGCTCAGCAGAAAACGAGACTGCGAAACCCCAATCGCAGGATCCCACATAGCTTTGATAATCTGCTCCATCAAGACTCCTGGCTGTCAACTCCTCCAACAACCGGAAGAGAATCTCCACAGAGAAAATACTATCTTTATATTTGACAGCAACCCACCGCCGCGCGAGCCTGCGGTGCAGATAGTTGAAACCGTCGACTGGTTGACCCCCCTCCAATAGTACAAATTCTTCTTTTAGATTTTGATTCCGAATCCTCGAATGACTACGAAATTCTGTAAGATCCGCAATTTACGGTTGGCTACTTACTATTCCTGGTATTAGACTCTAATAAATTGAAAGACTTAGAAATTGAAATAAGTTGGCAGTCAGAACGAGACGTAGAAAGCGATGGCGTTGCTTGTGTAGATGATGTATTTTTCACACCCCTTCTATCTGATAAAATATTTATGTCCCCTTTCTACGTCGATGTAGATCCTGATTTTAACTTCGCTTCTACTTATCCTTTGTCCTACGACTCGACATTTGAGAACTGTTATTACTCTGGTACTGGAAACCTTCACAATACATTAAATCTTTATCAGTCTGTTACTTTCTTCGTCTTTGCTGATCTCTTTATCCGCTTTGCAGGAATGTACTGCTTGAAATTCTAACTTATGAATTGGGGCTCTGTTGAGGATAAGAGACAGTCGATATCTATTCTTGCGGAAGTTTGGTTAGATCCGTTTCGCGTGTATCCGGCGAAGGAATTCCCGGGGATGTGTGATTCGTCTATTTTTGTGAATGGGTTAAAAGAGCTTGGTTTTGTGGAGTTATAAATCAGAGGAAAGGAGAATGGGAAGGGGCGAAAGAAGTAGTGACTTCGTATTATCTTTACTAAACATATATTTTACTTATCTGTAATTAGTTAACTAGTTAGTCATTCATATTTGTCTAATTTGCTTATTATTATGGAAAGTTCTAGCTACAATACCTACTCTGTACATTAATCAACCATGACGTCATGTATCCTAGACTGTAAGATACTGTAATGCTAATAATACTGGAATGTCGATATTCCAAGTGTACTCCTAATGCAGTATAGTCTATCTTGGCATTAGGGTTCGAGAATCAAGCGATGAGTGTAGGTGGTGACACCAGTTATGGGAATTACTGTAAAGAAGAAGGAACTCCTACGGATAGCATCTCGAGTATTAGACCAGGTAGAGGTTGAAATGGATCCTAAGCGATCATGAGATACTCCTTTCAGATCCTGAATTGACCTATGTGGCTTGTGATAAGAGCGTACTGCAGATAAGATGCATGACACGCTGGGAGAAACTTAACAGGAGTGGTACTAGGATAAAAAGCTGGTTTTGTACTTATGACATAGCTATGTAGTGGGATACTGGAAGTGGTAAAATGAAAGAATATGGACAAAAGACAAGTTCTAGGTAGTCTATTCCAAGAGATAGAATAGCTTGGAAGGCAGAAAATAAGAGATTTCTTTCGAGAGGGCTTAGTTCATAGGAGAATCCTCTTGAGAGGAAATTAGTCACAGTAGGGTCAGCTGAAGAGCATATACAGACGACACAGAAAGCTGCACGTCATATGGATTGGCTCTTCGTACTACCTCTCTCCTAGTCCAAACATGTTAGGTCTTGATTAGTCTTGAGATGGTCTAGAGTCGATATTAGATGAGCTGGACGTTGTTCAGTGGGGAATGATTTCATTAGCTTGTTTAGCTTGCTGAAGGAGTAGGCTTCTGCAGTGGCTTTTATTGGATATCAGAGTATAGGGTCTTATCAAAGTTATATTGGTTGACTGGCTGAGGACTCTGACCTGTGATTGGCTTCCAATGAGAGGACTAATTATGCTGTTTTTTATTGAAACAAAAGCAAAATAGTTACTAAATGTACAGTATCAACGAGGTTTGGGAATGGTGAATGCCTACTCTTGAGTAAATTTCAAATTACCAGGGGATACAACCGGTTCTGTTCTTGAAAATCTCCGATATTGTGTGCTTGGAGATCTGTCTTCTGGTAATATCGGAGAATAATCCGACTTCTGGATGCAGGGCTAAAGAATAAAAAAGACTAGGTAGAAACCCTTTCCTCAATGTATTCTTGGAAATAAGATAGCATTACGGCTACTGTGGGGCTTATTTGGTGGGGGCTCGGGGCTGGGTGTACAGGCGCTCCTTGATTCTTGTCTACTATGTTCACTGGATGTTTCATACTTCTTTAGCACATTCGTAATCAGCTTGGAGTCATCGGAATTGGTTCTGGGTTGTATTTGCTGCAGGACCGATTTATAATCACGTGTTTCGGTGGACAACTCTTCAAGCCATCTGTCTTGAGTCGTCAACATTACTATACCAGATCTAATCAAAACCAGGTTTAACCTTTCCCTGTGTTCACGCTTCCTTTGCGTATACCAACAATGTATTTGCACCGTAGCACAGCGCTGGCATTGTGGATGCTCGCCAGAGCATTTCGACTTATGCTCTTGGCAAGGTCTGCACGCATGTGTAGTTCGTTTTTTGAGGCACGAAGTGTCAAGATTTAGCGGGAGGATTGGCCATTTGGGTGTTTTATTTGGAGGCACAGTCGGCTGAAACGGAGGAATGTGCTTTGGTATACTAGTATCTTTTATACTCTATGACCCTGAAATAAAAAAAATGAGTATTTTCTAGAGCTCGAATGGATGAAAGAGGGCAGGTTGTACCTTGGTCAACGAGCTTAGATAGTTCCATGTTTGATATTCATAAAGAGATTGCTTGCCCTCACACCTATTGGAAAATAAGAAGGTATTGCTGATGGATTTGATGTTCCTGTAGATGTGCTGAGTGAAGTCGTTAGGCAATGTTCACGTGCTTCGGAGGCAAGGAAGTCTCATTGGCCGGATCTCAAACCCGAGACAAGTAATCAAGAGAATGGGCCAAATCCGTTGGGCCGACCGGATTGGCCATCAGTAATCCGAATGAGTTAGGCTGGGGAGCTGGCGGAGGAATGTGCCAAGGTGTAAACATAACTATGGGACTCTTTGTAATGTCATTTCCCACAACATAAATCTTTATTTTGGGAGATCTGTAAACCTGGTGCGGGGTGCTTTGAGGCCCATGAAGATCTAAGAACAGCGTCTCCCAACCTCTATGGACCGCTGTCCAAATTAGACACATATCGAGTGACATGGAGCCAATTTTGAAAGAAATCTGTGGAACCATGTCCAGTCAGGTCCCAGGCCTGGAGAGGAGGGTCTGTGTTTGGAGAGCTGTGGCCACACGGCCTTTGGTCCTAGGTCCCGTGATCTAGCACAATTGACTCCAGACGGCCGTGGACGCGGATCCACATTGGACGCGGATCCACATTGGACGTAAGTCCACAGCTGCCAGTCTAGGTGGGCTTTCCATCAGTTAACTGATGGCTAGGGAAAGATGTTTTGTCTATCTACTGCGCTTCTCATTCGTTACCAGCCTCCAACCTAATCTGGTTCTCCCGGCTTAAGTGGTTTTACAAGAATCGTAATTAGGGTGAGAGCTGAGCCAACGTCGCCTCGATAATGTGTCTCATTTTATGGGGCACGAAGCTTGGGAACACCTCGGATTACGCCCCAGATTCCGGCTATTGTGGCAGTCTACGGAGCGCTAGCTACCTTGAGCCCCTCCCTTTAAGTGTAGATGAGAATAGCATCGAGCCCTCGAGTAAATCTAGCTCACACGCTCTGAAACTTCTTCAGCTATGTGAGTGGAAAGATGGTGTATGTGGAGGGGTGAACAGAATAAGATAACACATTTCTTTTTGTGTATTCACATTTTTACTAAAATATCTACGGGTTAGTCATCATCAAGTATTATCGGTCTGTTGAGCACGTGAATTGTACTGCGCCTCATATTTCTGTTTGTCTACATCTCTTTTTATACAACACAATCAGTGGAAAATTGTGTAGGCTAACACTCATACCCGCAATCTCATTGATTACCAACGTCTGTTGAGAACTGGCACCTAAAGTATGTTTTCACCGCATTACAGTCCGATCCGATAGAAATGAAGATTCACACAAACATAGACCAGGAAGCACATTGCGTTCAAAAACCAAACTTGCACGAATGGAAACTTCTGATCGCGAAAAAAGAGTAAGAGTAGGGCGATACCGAAATTGAATAAAAAGAATGCGACCCTTCTTCCTGTCTTACTGCGAGTACTAATGTTCATGTCTGTTTGCTCTTCCATATTGCTCTCATAGGACAACGGCAATTTCCGTATTTTGGATGACATGTTTGCAATGAGATACAGCGAAGTAGACTGGCCAATAATCATGGAGGATAATCGAGGAAGTATGCTTTTCACCCAGCCTTTAGGTTAAAGCCGAGTTTGTTGGTTCAAAGGAGAGCAAAATGGTGCGGAATGGCACAAGAGATCAGGGGTCAGAAAGCGGCGAGCAATCTTAAGCCGGTATGTAACGAGGAGGTACAATCTACGATCTCCTAAAGAATAGTGGAATCTTTTAAGAATTTTCGCAATGCGGGGCACGGAGGTATCTATATGGCGGTATCATGTAAATTATACTATCTAATGTTTCAATTCGTAATATACATTGGACCCAGCCTTTTAAAATAAGCGGTCTGGAAAGCGGAGTGAGCTGGCTTTCCATGTTAGGACTAGCGCATTTCTGATTCATGGTGGAGAAACAACTAAGAAGAGTGTGGGAGGTAAATCTTATTTCGAAAACTACTGTACCGCCCGCTCATTTCCTCACGTTGGATTATGCGTTGAACTCGCGCGTTAATGGCGATTAAACACTTTACTCTCCATACAATTTTACCATTTAATCGCGGTCACATCGGCCTCATTCCACTTTGAGAACCGGCCCTCACAGCAATTCAAAACACAATCACAACCGCCCTTACGGGACAATCAAGACCCACGAACATCGTTCTCAGCGGAGACTTCAACCGCCACCATCCAATGTGGGGCGGCAAGAACATTAAACCACGCCTTATCGAATATGCTAGCGACCTAATCACGTTCTTTCAAGCGAACAGTCTTCACAACTGCCTGCCTCGGGGAACGCCAACCTACTGGTCGCTGAGCAACCCAGGGAAGAATTCCACCATTGACCAAACGGTAACGAATCGGCCAGAGCTACTGATCAAATGTCATCTCTATCACGAAAACTACGGATCCGACCACCGCGCCACGTACTCCGAATGGAATCTTCAAGCCCACAGTAAGCGAACCACGCAGACAAGGAAAGCCTACGATCGTGCAGAATGGAATAGGATTGGCGAAGAGTGATAGCGATAATCCTCTGCCACGGTAGGTCGGCTTTGCAAGCAATCAAGAGCGTGAGAAACATGTCAGGACAACGGATCGTTCACGCCATCCACCAAGCCACCACCGAGGTCCAAACAGCAGAGATCGCACTGCGCCTTCAGTGGGTGCCAGAACATTGTGACAATCCCGGCAATGGCAAAGCACGCCGCTCAGACAAATCCCACCCCTTCCGTCCGCTAGTCACAAGAGAGAAGGCTTTTACCCGTGGCAAGATTCCCGGTCGGTGAGAGCAGGAATGGATAACATCCAGTAAAGGCGGTCATCTGCGGAAAATTGACGACACTCTACCGGCGACGCACACCAGGAAGCTGTGTGGAAGCTTGGCGTACCTGCTGACGCAGCTGCGCACGGGCCATAATTAACTCTTCACCCACCGCAAAAAACATTTGCCATGGCGATAACGACTGCTTTGATTACGGTATGTAAGAAGCAGTACCTCATGTGCTTGTGGGCCGTCCAACTTTGGTGGAACTGTGAAGGAAGCTCTGCAGGAAAATGGGAGACGTGTTCAATAGCATGTCGAGTCTGCTGGGACGCTCAAAACAAGGAGAGAAAGGCAGGCCAGACATCGTCTCGCGGGTCAAGACGGTCCAAATCGTGCTGGACTCGGCTGGAGCTGCACAGGTTCTTTGCAGCCGCGCACCGCGAGGGCAGCCGAGCAACGGGAACGGCAATCAGGCCACAGCAGGCATTGACGCAATTCTGAGTGCGTTCTCAGGAAGGTGATTCTTTTGCAGTATCTTACAAGTAAGCAACATGACGCAAAGTACAGTTTGAGCTACTTCACTTGCCTGGAATTATCCGTCTCTCCTTGTCATTCTCTACACAGCTCAAGCGAACACAATTGGCCCCCATCACATCGTACGCAACACGCGCCCTTCTCCCCGTCCAGTCTCAACCCCTCAGCCCTCTGTCAAATTGTTCACCGGAATGACGCCGATCCTCCCTTCACCGTCCCTTCCACGGAGCCAAATCCTACAAATCCTCCACCTCCAGCATCGACCCCCCGGCGCAAGATTACCAAGACCCCGATGCGCGACTCAAGCTGCGTGTGTACCTGGCCTCTACCCAGAAGTTCGGTGAACTCCGATTATGAGTTTGGCACATTCTTCGAAGACGAAGACGGCACCGTGGTGGGCAGCCCAGGTGGCTCCATCAGAGATGTTGCGGTAGTTTCCCCTATTCTCCGAGAAGCTCTCGCACCAAGAACTTTCCGTAGGATTGTAAGCAGGTTGGACAAAAATAACTAGCAAATTACATACAGTACAGATAAGTAGAACATAGCTTTGGTAAATGTAATACGAAGTCACTGCTTCCTTCGCCCCTTCCCCTTATCCTTTCCTCTGATTTGCAACTCTGCGTAACCAAGCTCTTTCAACCCACACACGAGACTAGATGAATCACTTATTCCCGGGAATTCCCTCGCCGGGTACACGAGAAACGGGTCTGACCAAGCTTCCGCAAGAATAGGTATCGTCTATCCCTTATCCTCAATAGAGCCCTAGTTCATGAGCCGGAATTTCAGGCGGTATATTCCTGCAAAGCGGATAGATAGATCATCAAAGATGAAGAAAGTAGCGGGCTATTGAAGTTCTGATTTATTGTAAAGGTTCCCAGTGTCAGAGCAAGAACAGTTCTTTAGTTTCGAGTCGCAACGCAAGGGATGAGTAGGGGTGGAGTTAGAGTCAAAATCTACGTTGACGTAGAAAGGGGATACGAATATTTTGCTAGATAGGAGGGGTGTGAAAAATGCATCATCTGCACGAGCAATACCATCGCTTCTCTTGTTTCGTTCTGATTGCTGGCATTTTTCGAATTCTAGATCTTACAACCTACTGGAGGAGTCCGATACTGGAAGTAGTAAGTAGCCAACTATAAATTACGAATCTTTCAGAACATCGTGGTCATTCGACGACTTAGAATTAAAATCTGAAAGGAGAATTTGTACTATCGGAGGAGGGTCAACAGATCGACGGCCTCGAACGCCTGCACTGTAGGCTCGCGCGGCGGTGGGCTGCTGTCGAATATGAAGATAGTATTCTTTCTATTGAGATTCTCTTCCAGGTGATGGAGCGGATAAACCGGAATCTTGATGGAGAAGATTCTTGAAGCTGCGTAGGATACTGTAATTTGAATTTCGCGGTCTCGTTTTCTGCCGGGCACTAGTAAGTGCTATGTGATTCGACAAGGTACTTGGCCCTTTCTCGAAATGAATTGGGCTGGGTGTTACTGTGGAACCGCTGCTATGACTCGTATATATTAGAATCAAAGCAAAGTGTCTTGGGGTTTGAATAAACACCAACTAGTTATTCAGTAGCTATGCATAAGGAGAGCTATTAGCAATTGACAACAACCGCACAAGAACTGCCGACCGAATGAAGTGAGATATTCAGTCTAGAAGAAACGAAAAAGAGTGGACTTTACTTGAAACTCAGATCGTCTATTCGTACTGACTGACCGACGTCTTCGCAGTCATGGTTTGACATTGGACTGGGTATTGCTTGCCTAAGGTGCTCTTGCGAACCACAGATAGTTGGAGCGTGGCGATGCATTCGCAACGGTAGCGCTAGAGTTATGGGTTGACTGGTAATGGAATAGTTGTCGGACGAAGGCATACACCTTGGATCAATGAGCCTTTCTTAAAAAAATCCCTTGATAATCGAGGATGACCTGGTTTTAAAAGCACAGGAATTTTGTAGCCCATACCGGAAGATTGATGTTAGGACTCGTGCTGAAGGCATGGATCAGCTTTTATAGGCATCAGAACAGGTTGTCGTGAGCGCGATACTGGGTCGGTGTTCGGATTTTCGAATGCGGCAGGCCCACATGGCTGTGGGTGAGTTCTCGACATTTGTTCCGGGCAAAACGGGCTGGTGCCCGCGTGCAAATTTTGCGCTTGGATATGTCACTGCTGAAATCGAAAGGGATTGTGCTCGGGTGTTGGCAAGCATGCGACTCGGGATGCAGCTATTCATGCGAAGATAGAAGACATTAGCCACAGATAAATGCAGCTATCCAGCTCCGCGGGAAACTAACTTCTAGTGGGCGATGGCAGTTATTCGTAGAAAGCCTTTTTTGTCCAGATAGTGTGAGTAAAATTATGAATAGACAATCAGGCGAGGCTCAAAATTCGGTGTTATAAAGCTTGGTATGTCAAATTGGAGACTGATAACCACTTATTTGCGGATCCTAGAGTTGGTTGTATGTTATCTGCCTGTGGTTGAGCTTTAATAAGGCTTGTCTGATATCTGTAAATATATAATATAAAAGTTTTATATAGTAAGGTATTATTAATACAAGATTAGAGTAAAGGTATTTATTTCTATAATATATACCTTAACGAGCGACTTTTCGAACCCGGCATGATTTTTCTGCCTGTTATTCCTTGTACCAAATACCTTGAAAAAGAGTTCTTGTGGGCCTCTAAGCACTATTTCATCAATTGGGTTCGGTCGCGACCGTACACAAAGTAGAAGATTGGCCTGCTTCTCTCGAAAAGGGTCCAGACAAGGTTCATAGGAACACAAGTAGTGAAACAGAATCATGAATACCGCGATGCCCGCAGTTGCGCAATATCCTATCAAAACCTTCGAAGGTAAGCGGCTCGACTCGCGAGGTAAATTCGCAATTGGCTATACTCACTCCGATCCCTGTGATGTCATTGTCTTCCCTGATATCAGTTGGATGCACCGAGCAATCGTAACTGCACATACTGATGGCGAGTTGCTTGTGCCCTTTTGGGACATTCCAAGGTTAATTTCTGATCGTGTTCGACCTACAAAACTAGGTAGGCGGTTGAGAGACATTTCCGCACCGGCGGGGTGGGTTACGTGGGGGCGGAAGCGGCCAAATGTCGGAATCCGGATGCCTTGTTTACATGGGGGATTACCCTAATACGGACTAGCCCATTATTAGTCAACAGATCTAAAAGGTTACACCGTATTAATACCTGTATTACGATAACGTGGCCCTGCGGTGAACTGAGGTACTCATACTTAGCACTGGTATTCCATTTAGACAAAATAAAACTATTTCACCTTGCCATGTATCATGGATACCTGGTTTTTCTTTTCTTCGATTATGATAATTTGTTTAGGGGTGCACATAAAATGACCAACTCCGACAAATCTTGCAAACTGTTATAATCGTAATTCAGAGGAATGATTGATTTATCCATTACTTCTGAAGGAATGCAGGAGACCATATACAACTTGAGGTCCAAATTGGTTGGAACCAATTTGGTTCTTTGTATACATCGTGAAGGAATTAATTCGGATGATGCGGCTTGGTTCCTGAACTACACCAGCCTTGTATTACAACACAAACAATAGCGGAGTAAAATAGCCCGGACTGAACAAACAAAGTACAAGTATAGCAATTTGATAAATACTCAAACGATATTCGAAAAAGGCCTCATTGATCTGAAAATCACAAGAAAAATCCTGATAAGTTGCGATGAGCGATCCCCGACGACCCCTCAGCAAAGAGACTTCTCACTGGGTCTTGTTGAAGGAAACCATTACTCAAAAAGCACCTCACAGCCAAGCCATCACAAATAGCGATCATATGATTTAAACGATCGCGGTCCTGAAATGGTCCCTTGTAGCCCTGGACATGTCCTACGCAGGCCCGCTCGAAATTTCATGCGCATTCCCATGTGCAGTCTCGTAATAGTCGGGAGCACTCTCCAAGTCGTCCTTCGCAGTACCTGTAATTGTCGACTTTCGTCGAACGTGGGTGTCTCGGCAGGCCAAGATAAAGAACAAAAGGTGAAGAGCCCTGAAACAAGGTTAGCAACAGTTTCAGTGCATTGACCGTCGAAGATCACGTACCCAACTACAAGCAAGAAGATTGCAACAACGGCATTCCCGCGCCCATATGAATATCCACTTGCAGCTCTAACGTTGAGTATTCCGAAAAAGAAATGTACCACCGCAAGAGCAAAATCCAAGGCGATGGCAAACCCCGGATGAATGGTACGCTCGGTGTGAGAGAAGATCGAAACGAGGGCCGACCAGATGGCTGTCACCGCAAGCTGCTCGATGTCAATCAGTCAGACGTGCTTCAACTTGGCCTTTCAAGGCGGGAGCTGCATACGATAACGTAATAGATCACTCCAGACGCTGGGTAGTAGGTTCCCACTGCGATACAAATGATACCAATTAAAGCGATAAGAGCATCAAAAGCTCGAAAAGCCGTCCTCGGTCCCGGTGTCTCTGTTGTCCACAAGTCGCGAATGATGAATCTCATGACGGTTGACGAGATAGATGCCAGCGGGAGTGTGAATATTGGTGCTGGGTAGGCAGGAAGATGTAGAATGAGATAAATAGAAAAGGATAAGGTTAAATATTAGATGCAAGTGCTATACTTGGTTGCTCAGTGTATTGTTATATGTTCTGACCAGCGTAACTATATCGCGCGATGAGGCGGTGTTGGTGTCTTTTTCTATGTCGATCCATGTTATGACCAAGTCAGCCTCGCTCTCAAAACTACGTTTATCTTGTCTTGGATTTTATTGAGAATCGTATGCTGGTGTATCATTTGTTAATGTTAAAGTGGGCCTGTGCAAGGATGCCCTTGTATTTTGGCGTCTAGCCCGCCAACAAAACCCGTCAAACGAACCTATCAAGGCAAAAAGAGAGCATTTTAAATACTTTCCAGATCACATTACAAATACCGCGATATGACAACCTCCGTATAAGACCAGAGAACAATAACGATGGCTTGAAGTAGTTCCGCCAGGTGTTGCTTTCATTTGGGCAAGTATGTAGGGCCAGGATCACGTGGAGACCCGCAAATTTCTCGATAACACACTAACTTTTTCGGGTAAATGCCCCAAAGAATACATACGTAAGTGACCACAGCCTCACTTTGCAGGTGTGAATGTGGATCGTCTCATCCATGCCCTGCATGAGGATGATAAACGCACGGGAAAAAGGACATATCTGTCGTTTTCTTCCATGCCTCTCATTTAGATATACTAGGAGCATGTACCCAATGAATTTATAATATTGCGGCAAACAAAAATGGGTACTGGTATTTAGAGGAAATACATTTCTCGATGATGGTCGGTGGGATTGAGCTTTGTCATTTAATTATCAAAATCTCAATACGTCGGTGTCTCGGCTCAGACATTTTGTCAAATAGATCCCGAGGGATGCAGAGGTTTTCATATGATTTATAAAGGAGACTCCTTCGGGTCGAAATCCACCTTTGCTTTATAAATTTCGTGTTTCTACACAATGGATGAGTATATAGCTGCTTGACGACATACAGAAAGCGAGATTTATTGGGGTAGGGGGCGCGGTCCGCTTCCTGGTTCAAGATGGCTGCGAATGAAGCAAGTACCGCAATTCAAATTGATTCACAGCCTTCTAGGTAGACACACCTATTCAACGACATCATCGAGGGGAAGAGAAAAAAGGACCAGAGATCCTCGGGACTCGTCTCATAAGTCTTTGCTAGAATGTTGCGATTTTGCAGCCACACGACAAGGCTGTGGATGTGGAGAGTTGTGTGGAGAATCAATTGATGCTACCCTTCAATCATCGTGCTTTTGGGCGGTGATCTCCGAGTATTTTTCTCGGCAAGATACGAGCCATTTCCGATTTTCGTGCATAGCCCCAAATCTGCATTGAGTTGCATGAGCTTTCAAAGACTAAAACTTGGCTGTTGGGGCCACAGATCGCGTCATCATACTCTAGTATTTTGCATTGATAAAATGTTGGTGAAAAGCTTACTTGGCGGTCCCACAGAGATAACACAGAGGATAATGATCATTCCGGGCGCCACCACATAAGCCCTCATTTTTGTAAATTTAGCAGGAAACTTTGATTGCGCTGTGAATACAGTAGTTACTGTAACGCTTCTTTCACAAAAACAAGACCTACGTGCTATGTTCGAGATGGTCGCGCAGCCACTTATTGGTCATGAGCCATCGGTCCAAGACGATGGAATTGCAGGCTACGATCCGCAAATGACTGTATGGATATCAACTTCGATCGCATTTTGAATAGCTATAATAAGAATGCTTACCGCTTTTCTCCAATTCAGATGACCTATACCCGCTTCGCATAGTATCACGGGGATGATGATTGTTTTCTATGGCGGTATGTGCCGATTTGACTCTTTCCAAGACGAATCGAATACGTATTTTGACGTTTCATCTTAAAGTTATGTTCGACGATTTTTTGAATGCCTCGTACCAAACGAGCTACTTTTGACTGACTGCTGTTTTTACTGCTGCGTATTCGCATTGGAAATAGCTGTCAGCTAATAAAGAGAAGATCGAGAGGATATTGACTCAGCTCAGTTTAGTTCATGGGTACCTGATGCTTTAGTTTCTGTCTCATTCTCAAGCATAACTTCCTAATTTATAAGAATTTTTTACTCTCATTCACTTCTTATTCGACTAAATGTTACCACTTCCGCAACATTCAGTACTCCTACCGTGGATAGATTCATTCCTATATTGTTTCTGTGTTGAAATAATAGGATATATAAGAATCCTGGATAGACAACCATTCTCCAATTTCTTAGGAAAAAGATTGTCAATCAAGGACTTTTGCAGTCGATTTCATATAATCGCAAACTACGATCAAGGTTTTATAAGTCGCTATACTTGGTTGCTCTAGGTACTGAGATATGTCCTCACCAGTGTAATTATATCACGCAATGAGGCAGTGTTGGTGTCTTTTTCTATATTATATCTAAGTCATAACCAAGTCAGTCTTACACTCAAAACTACATTTATCTTATATTGAATTTTTTTGAAAGTTATATACTGATCTATTATTTGTTCATATAAAGATAGATATATGCAAGGATATCCTGGTACTTTAGCGTCTAGCACCTGTCAAACGAACTTATCAAAGCAAAAAGAGTATAATAAAAATACTTTCTTTATCTCATTTACAACCAACCTCGACATAGAAACTTCTTTATATAGCAAGGAAACAATAACAATAATCTAAAGTAGTTTCGTCAGAAGTTGCTTCTCATTTAAGCAAGTATATAGGACTAGGATCTCAGAAAGACTCCGAAAGTTTCACGCTAACATATTAACCTTTTCGGAAAAATGCCCCCCAGAATATATACTTAAGTGGCCACATGCTATAGCCTTGTTTGGCGGAGTGGGAATATGGATCCTCTTATCGGCTTCTACTACGATAAAAATAGTTCACAGCCTTCTACCTAAACTTAATAATTCAACAAACGGGAAAGCAAACATTGTTAACGTAAAGAGGAAATAGGACCAGAGGATTTCGGCGGCTCATAAAGCTTTCCTATCATAAAGCTTTCCTAGAATATTGGGCTTTTACAACCATGAGGTATATAAAAAGACTGCGAATGTAATAAATTGTGTGGAGAATCAGTTCATAATATCCTTTAACCATTGTGCTTTCGGGCGGCGATCTCCGAGTATTTTTCTCGGCAAAATATGACGTCTTTCCGATTATTCGTGCATAGCCCCAAGTCTGCATTAGGATATTCCTCGGGCGGAAATAGAGTACTGAGACGATTTTTTAATCTTATGTCCCGTTAGCACATCGCGCATCAGTTAGCACAGCCCTTTCGTTCAAACAAGTTTATCCCTGGCTTGACGTCATATCGAGTGCTTACCTGTGCCTAGCATGAGCTTGTGATCTGTTTTCTTGATAAGAATCTTACATCTAACTGTCATTTCGGGTTCCATCTATCAAGCGCCTTCAGCTTCATTCCGAAAGCCGATCACATTATCTCATTTTCACGATATAGATTTATTCCCCCTAGAATTTTTGGCAGCTTTGGTGTGTTGTTGCGTGACCAGTGTTGATTTCAAACAACCACAATCCTCTACCGAGGAACGCCAGGTTCGCAGAGGGCGCAAGGTTTGCAAACAAGGCAAGAAATAATAAGGATGCCTTTGGTTGTATGTAAGTGGTTCTTCAATACCGAGCTCTATTGCGGCAAGAGATGGCAAAAGATTCTGACTAACAGTCTGACCGCGAAACCCCTTAATTCGGCCACGCAACATGGGAACGGGATTTAACATAGTCTGCTCGATTCAACTGCTGAAAAGCATGATACCCAAAGGTAAGCTACCGCGAGTTCAAGCAGCTGCTCTTCCATAATCTGCACGAGCAACACTAATCCCTCAATGCAGGCGTCCATGCTTCAATTTTAGTCTTTAATTCCCTGTGCCTAGTTGGCTGACGATATTAGGCTGCAACCCCCATTTATATGTGAAACACGCTTGAGCTCGGGTGTGTCATGAGATAAAATATGGATTAACCAGTTTTCTGAAAAGCGTATACTGCAAATGAACACGAAAGGCCCCCTGATACTGAACTGCCAACCCATTAAGCGCTGTCTCGTGGGTTACCCAACGCCGTAAAAATCAAATTTAATAGGAAAGCATCTACATTTGGGCTCTAGGACCAGGATGGTACACATAATACGCCGCTCCATCTCGCCGTTCATAGAAAAATGTCTGTAAGTATTCACATTACACTTGAGTCACCCTGGACAAACGTGGACTGCACAGACACAGAAGGTAACACGTCGCTTCGGCTGTCCACCTACTCGTCTCGCGATAGGTTAACAGACAGGCTCTTGACTGAGGAAACAATGGATAATCAATTTCGTCGGGGACCGCGGGAGACACTCGATACCATCTACATCATTGCGCCACTCCGTGACCAGACTGGACGCTGTTGTCGTGATATAAAGCTGGTGCAGATCAGGAACAAGCCGCACCATCAGAATTAATTCCGAAAGTTTCTATATGAAGAAGCTTATCGATTGGAATCTGATTGGGAACCATCTTGATTGTCTCGTATATCAAGCCTCACGCATTTCCTTTAAAACAACACTAAAAATCTTTGGACTACAACACTTTACTCTTTCCGGGCATCGGTGGGTGCGATTAGTCATTTCAACACAGTGGTACCTCACTAGCTATTCTCTTCACTCTTCTTAACCACATTTTCCACGAATTGATCTTATCCCACTTCACACATCCAGCTGTAGGCCCACGCCTTCCCTTGACATACATGTTACGATGGGCAACCGTTTTAATGCCAACCACGCATTTTTGAGGATTGTGGCTTTGAACATACTCTGTCTTCTCTCAGTTCCCAACCTATGCCACGGGGACTCATCGAACCGAAATGAAACCTATATGCTTGCTCCAGAATACGGGACGGGCGGCTTAGAAACAATTCAAGCTAATATGTCCATCGCGATAGCCACCACGGTCTTACATCCCGGGCCTACGCTTCCAGCCTGGCTTGACTATCATCTCCGCTGGGTACAGCATGTAGTGATATTCATGGACGACCCAGATGAGCGTCCAGCGCTTGACCGCGTATGTGAGAACAGGCCCGTCACGCTCTTAAAAGGATCGCAAATCGAGCCTAACATGACACCAGAAAGCCGCCTCATCCGGCGTCAGATGGCCAATATGAGGCATGCAATTGTCTATTTGATGGAACGTGGCTACACGTGGCTCCTCCATATCGACCTGGATGAGTTGCTCTACGGGCCCGTAGTAGAGTCACGTGCCTGGGCTAGAGACCCTGAAGTAGGCCTTGTGACTTTCACCAATCACGAGGCGCTTCCAGTTGACTTCGAGACCTCAGATCCGTTCAGAGACTGCGTGTACTTTTGGGTGAACGGGGTAGACCGCAACGTCAACTTCTTAGCCTACGGCAATGGCAAGAGTGCAGTCCGCCTCGGGCCGGTCGTCGAGCCAAGAGGGGCCCACTTGTTCTCCGGCCACGCCGGCCGCACGTTGACACTCTCAGGTGAAGAGGCGATGATATTGCACTACCCGTATCCTTCATACGACAGCTGGCTCCGCAAGTTCAACCATTACGGCCGCTTTTCTGACTACTGGTTTGGCGACCGCCGGGCGCCCAAGATTATGGACTTCATGCGGCACTCGCGGGACGTGGTCCAGAAGGCCCATAAGACCAATGACTGGGTCAATGTTAGGGCATTCTTCTCCGGACGAGTCCTGGATCCCGAGTCGAGAAAAGAGGCCATTTCCCAGGGCAAGATACGTCACTATACGCCGTTCACGGATCTCGAAAAGGCCTAGCAACCTTGTTTATATAAGGCACTATTCATAAACAGTGAAGCGTGAATACAAATTCCCTTTTTATGGCATGATGGTAATATATTCTATTCAATAAGTCCCTCCCATGTTGGTCTATTTCCGATAGTAGCTAGTGCTTCATTAAAGTTATGTAAGAGATTTAAAGGCTCTCAGCTATTTAGCCGTTCTCAATCCCACTTGGGCCTATGAGTAAGTATACCGCATGTGGGCAATTGGCCTGGAATAATAAGCAGCGCGTATGGAAATTTACAGCACGCAATATGTGTGTCAATGACAACATTCAAATAACATAAGCAAAAAAAAGAAAGCTAGTCATACATGTATCTATACTATATTAAAATATGTTCGATCGCGCATGACGAATGGTTAGCGTAGGGACCGAACGTGTTAACTATATCCTCTCTTTCAATGACTCCTCGCCTTCTCTTAAGAGTGGTCTATTAGTTCAGTCAATTTGAGCTGGTTTGGCATGGCTATGGCCTTGATGGATGGGCTGCGGACGTTCCCCCTCCAGATCACATTGTCGCGCGTCGCAAGAAAATTCCATCTAAAGATGGTATGTCTCTTCTAGATGACAATTTTAAAGGAACAAGAGGCGGAAATAATATCAGGTCTTTGGTTAGAGGATAAATGTGCCGACATAACGCAGATAAAAATCTAAGGTCATGGCATACTCTACAGGCTTCTCGCGTCCATTCCTTTCGTAAGTGCTTCAAAGCTGTCAAAGCTAGGCTGGGTCTTTGATATGTTTCTGTAGGGGATTGCAGTCAACATACGAAGCATGGCGTCCCCAGTGTACATCGCAGCAACCCAGGAGAAAGTGAACGAAATGGAAGAAACCATGTTTTAGTGTGTTAATTCATGCCTTTATATTAAGCCTTCGTATGGTAGAACACTTACCCATTGACAACAATGAGCGGCAAAGCAGCCACGACGATTTCCCTCCCCGAGTCCTCTCGGTATCCATCGTAATAAGACGCAGTCTCTCCTATAAGGCCGAGGCTTCCGAAAAACCACAGATTAGCCTTGAAGATTAAATCCACAGCAATTTGAACATCAGCGTGGACAGGACGCTTGATAAAAATTAAGGTGACGTTGATCAGAGTCCAGATCCCTGGGATACCGACCTGTGGTCCTTGGTTAGACTGCCATCTCATGGAACGCGATTGACATTTGAATGTACTGGTCCACGAACGATAATATAGTATACCCAGCCCTCGTTGTGCCACAAAGCTCCAACTTCTAACATTTTAGCGACGGCCACAGGCACAGCAAAGATACGCAAGCCTAGTCTAGGCTTTCTGGTTTCAGATACTAATGCGTTGGCCATGTTGGTGATCTAACCAAAAGTGAGGTCACAAAATGAGATGCGATCTAAAATGATTAAAGACGAAATCTGACACACCGTAATTAAGAGATTAAGTCTATTTGAAGGTAGGTAGTTGCACCAAGAACTCAACAAATGGCAGTACAGCTTGCCTGGGTGAAGATCATCGCTGGACGCAGCCTTGTGGAGAAGTCCATGGAGAGCCAACTTACGCAGTGAGCTTTGTAACTTCACGAGATCGAGAGTTGGACTGAGGCTTTGGTCGACGCGGCTTTTTCGTCTATCGTATAAGCAATTTGCTAGGGGCTTCTAAGAGATGAAAGACCAGTTTCCGTTTTAGGAAATGTTGCGCGAACTCCCGGACAGAAATTCGATGATTTACCCACTCTTAGCTTGATCCCCCAGAGCACACACCCATAATGGAGTTGGCTTTCCATGGCTCTTGCACCCACGGTGATCCGTGATCGGTGAGAACTTCAATCCCACAGCCACCAAGCGTGTGCCTTCTGATCCATGATAACGTAATTTACTATAAAGCCGCCGCGACCACCCCCATATATAAATACAAAGTATTTAGGTGCATTTATACTTACCAAAACGCTATCGAATTAGCAAAACTACCCAATCAGGTCTATCTGAACATGCGTACATTTTTTGTCACTGATTCACACATAAGCCACGCACCGGCAAAGCCCTCAATATTCCACGATTCGCAAATTGATGGCAAAACTACGTAGAGTCTCAGCAGAAATTAATTGAGGCTCCCACTTCGATAGGCAGCCTGATATACAGTGTTAAGTATCCACTGCTCTCCACCTCCCGTTATAAAGTGATCGGCATCTATTACCATTCATTTTGGATAGAAAACCTGATGGATAGCTAATCGAGTATTTTTACTGTCGAATCTGTATGACCGGAAGTGACGATTGAGGAACCCGAAGGGATTTTGGTCAAATAAGTTCTTGTAGTGGAATGAAATCTCGGGGACCATTTTAAAAGTAACAATTAGCCCCCATCGGGTAGGGCCGGTGAAATTTCGGACCGGAATGAAAGTCGTTCCTATCCGAATAAAACACTGTTGTCACGTCATAACAAGCTAGACATTATTAATTAAATCTGAACTGTGGTATTTCATTTATAAGGGATATGTAAGCAGAGGAAATAGATTAATGGAGCCTACACAGCAATTTCTCATAAGAGGCGCACAGCATCGCAAAACATCCTGTTAATAATTACTTATTTTAATTCCGTCTGATTTTTCTGTTCATTTGAAGATCTGCATCATTCACCACTATGCCTCCAAGAATCCTACTCATCGGTGCGTCTGGGTATATTGGCGGCTCTACGCTTTCATCTCTTCTAGGGAGCCATCCATCCTGGGACATCACAGCGATCGTACGCAATGAACAGCAGGCCTCTGCAATTCATGATACATATCCGGATATAACACTGTCTACTGTCATTGGCTCCCTCGACACTCCTGGAGTTCTTGTGTCTGAAGCTGCCAAGGCATCCATTACACTTCAGCTTGCCAACGGCGATCATGATGTTGGAACGGATACTATCCTTTCCGCAATCGCTTCTTCAACCACCCCCGAGTCCGCTAGATATTACATACACCTCTCGGGGGCCGCCACTGTTCTTGACCTTTCCCTCGCGCCCGGCTCTCCGCCGTCAAGATCCTGGGATGATGTATCTGATCTGTCCGCGATACTCAATCTGCCTGCAACACAAATCCACGCCGCCATAGAGCAGCGTATCGTGTCATTCGGTGCTGCGCATTCTCGAAATGGCCTTCGAACGGCAATTATCAGCCCACCGGCCGTTGTTGGTGTGGGGTCTGGTCCAGTCAAGAAAGGGGCTGCTTATCACGTCAACATGATGATGCAGCGCAAAAAGGCCTTTGTGGTCGGGCAAGGACTCAACAGATTTGACATGGCTCATGTGACGGATGTAGCAGATGCAATTGTAACCTTGGTCGAGGCTGCCTACGAAGAGCTTGAGACTCAATATGCCAACAATCCAAGTTCCTCTTCCAAGGCGCACTGGAATGACAAAGGATATTATTTTCTCACTTCTGATTGGGAAACCCCGAATAAAGCTACTTATGTCAAAACGGCTCAATCTCTGATGAGAATGAGATCCATACCACTCGATGATGGTGTGGATTATTTGACACCGGACGAGGCGACGTCATTGCATCCATTTGGAACCATTATTTTCGGGGGCAACCTGAAGATCCAAGGGAAAAGGATAAGAGAGAAGTTAGGGTGGAAAGCCTCTTCTATCCGTTGGGAAGACGCTCTGAAGGAGGAGATAGAGAATGAGGTCTCAAGACAGGCTAGGGGGGAAGTTTTGGGAGTTGGGTTTGGTCGTGAATAAGAAATAGGTACAGAGTAGGGTGCAGGGCTGGAGTTTTGTGTTTGGACTCATTTACCCGGATCCGTCACTTAGCGAAGCAGCTGCTAACGAATGCGTCCTTAGACTTAATAGTCATCTGCGTCTGCATAGTTGATACGAGAGACTAAATTTTACATGCTACTAAGCCAGGAGAGTGGAAGATACCAACAGCCAAGCGTGATACCAATCCTTGATGACGAAGTCAATTTATAGGGAGCTTCTTATCTTGTCCACCTACTCGCAAGAAACATTAGCCGGCTTCGAATGCTTTTGCTGGCTACCGCAGCTATCCCTTTCATAGCTAGAAGCAGAAACAAGAGAGATTTGATAAACGAGCCCTTTCAACCCTTATGGAAGGTACTTGTTGGCCTCGAAGCTACGATTCAAAGCTCGCCTTTCTAGTAGCTCGAACGGTCGGACTATATTGATATCTCTGGGACTTTTGTGTGTTCAAGCATTCGATATGGACAAGCTAGAGCAAGATACCACATTTTAAATAAGGCCGTCATGCCCCTAAGGAGAGAGAAAGACGATCTTCAGCTTCGATACGATAAAAAATTATCTCAGCTGCGCTTTTCTGGGCAGTCATTGGAACCATGTTGGGAACGACTAATCAGCATATTCAATGCGTAGAACCAGCCAGTTTAACTCGATCTGACAGGGCCCCCGGACATCGCAAGAAGATGGCGAGGGTTGCCGATCCATAATTATCCTGTGACCTAGTTTTTAGAAATATTACGGCGATGAATCTCCTCGCGGTGGGAGCACCAAAAGACAAGGGTATTCAACGCCGAATCGAAAAACGTGTAAACAAGAGTAACACATTCAGACAAATCAGCAAGATATGCTTAACAATGAAGCAGAGAGTAAAATGTCAAGTGCCCATGAACCGGACCCAAACAATGTCCGTTGAATCTTCTCCTTCACCAGTTGACGGCAATTTCACTAATACACAGAAGTGAGAACAGCAATCAGTCAGAAATTGCTCATTTGGTACGAGGCATTCGAAAAACTTTCGGAAATAATTTTGAGATGAGACGTCAAACCGGAATGTTCAAATTCGCCTTGGAACGACCATAAACGGTGAGCAATCTTATAATAGCTGTTGAAAAGCTTGACGTTGATTTACATCATTTGGCGGCCATAACCTGCTCTTCTATCACTCTGGACATGTAGCTCACGACCAGTAAGTGGCTGCGGGGCCGTCTTAACGATAGCACACAGGCATGCAACTCAAATGGGAGCAGCCGACCGGTTTGAACGTAAGGTAGATCGAGAGCTACAAGTTTGTGTATACCGCCTCCCTTGCTTTTGAGCAACAGAACAGTGATTGTCTACTGAATGTTCTTTCCCCTCCGTCTGGTATTTGAATGATGTCGTGTTATGGGCTAGAAAGTAGAGGGAGCTGTTATAACCCTCTATGTGCCGATTAAGACCGAAGGTGCCTCCTGATGTACATAAATGAATGGCCGCAAATGATTGCACTCTCTTTATCACCTTCTTCAGACAAAGCCCCTCGGTGTGACCAGCCTATGCCTCATTGGGTGGACCCAAAAAAAAAGTTGAATTTTGACGACTAGAACATTGTCATGCATAGCCCAGTGGAGAATGATGGAAGGGTGCATGTAGGCAGCATAGATCAACTGGCATGTCAAAAAAGCGAGATTGATATAGCAAATAGACCTGGCACTTACCCGCGGGTAACCCTCATAACCCAACACCTAACCCTCCGCTTGGGCAGGTCAGGTTCCAAGATTCCGACCCTCCTGAGGATAACCCGCGGGCAAATCTGAGGTACGCCAAACATGACAAACAGGTGAAAAGCGTCACTCGGGGTCAATTGCATAAAATATGTAGAAACAGGCCGTTTTCTCTTGTAATTGGAAATTAAAACTTCGTTACTGTATGGCCTTACAGAAGCATTTTGGTTAAATCAGAGGATTATTTTTGAACAGGGCTCTAAATGATACTTAATGTACATAACAATTAGATTCGAATACAAAGTTCTCAAGTCTCAACCTTTTCCGCATCCTACATGAAACACGATAATGCGTATCAGGCAAGGGTGACACCGAGTTCTCTTCTGGATCCGCAAATTCATCGGCGTTAGGGACTTCCTCATCACCGAAAGTGACCGCCGGCCGCTTTCTAGCGGCGACTTCTGAGAGTAGTGGTACGGCTGGCGTATCAAGGTGTAACTCGATATCCTCCTCAGTATCACTAATGGCCTCGGAGCAATGTGTCTCGATATCGAGTTCCTCAGATGTGGCTGCGATCTCTTGCTCTGAAAGATACTCCTGGAGGATCAGCCTTTGCTCCTCCTTAATGTCGAACCTTGTTGTGCATAAATATAACGTGATATCGCGAACAGTATCTGGGTTCAACGACCCCCGGCGGTAGTGGCAAACGTCCCGGGCAGAGTTAAAAAGACACTCAACTCCAGCACTAGTCATTGGAATAGACATCATATCACGGGTAATGCTTGCAAGAATAGAGAACTCCTTCTCATGATTTCTCTAGAATATCCGAGCTGATTCGTCAATACTATCTAAGAAGATTAGCTTTATGGTTCATTTCGTGAGGTACCTACTTACCACTCTGAAGATATCTAGTAGGCTCATCGTGCTGCGGACCGGTTGATAGCCTCGAGAGGTCGCGCATACAAGCCCTTTCAAGCGCTGATTTGGTTGTTGATAGCCTAATTTCAGACTACGTTATATCTGATGGTATACATAGGCTATATCTCTTAAAAAGAGACTGGAGGCTCTCACAGTATTCCTATTTATAGTCGTTTCCTGTGTGATCTGGGGTCCAATCACTTGTTGAAAAGAACTCCATCTTGTTCGTCGGATCCAGGATCGTTCCAATTGCATAGAGATCACATTCGACATCATCTGTCATACCGTAGTATTTCGAGAGTTTTTCTTTCGCAGCCTTGAGGGAGGAAAGCATTAGCTGCTTCCAGGAAATCTTCTGTCGACGAAGCTGACGCATAAACCTTTCAAGAGATCAAAAAGCTTATTGTGAATACTAAAGACGAGGTGAATACCCGAGACTTTAGTTTGACAAACTAGCGTAGTAAACGTAAAGAAGGGCTGAAGGATGTATATCAGATAGTCAATCTGTTGCCATCCCTCTGCACGTAATGCAGAATGGGGTTGATCATGGTGTGAACAGTACTCGTCGAATGTAATATGAAGCCTTTTCGCCCGTCGGAGCATTAGAAATGTCGAATTCTATCGCGTACGAACGTCCTGGATTGGGACCAGCTTTTGCCTATTAGACTGGAGATTCAAGAAGGCTTCTTTACGTTGAGGGCTTTCGTTGATATAAACCTTAAGACCTCGAATCTAGAAGGATGGGTAGTGATTTGTATAAGATATTTGGTCAAAACCCTACCTTATCTAGAGTATCGGCGATCTCATGTTTCTGCTGGCGCGCATGATTTAAACGTACACGATCATCAGAACGCACTGATTCGGCAGTGTCGTTCTTTGGTGAAGCCTTGATTTACCAAGTAAATCAATCAGATTTAATTGAATCACATGCGCAAGGCAGGGCACTTGAATAATCGTAGAATCTGTCTTTAGCTGTAGTTCACGGATTGAATCATTCACCGGTCTTATTGTTAGACGCATTATCAGTTGTTACCGCTAGTACACGATTTGGTGATTTGGTGGTTTTGTAGAATCTGGAGAACAACCTCACCAAGGTTTACGCCAGAATGAGTTCCAGAAAGAGGCTCAAACCCAAGGAGGACCTCGCGATTCTCCCATTTCTGGTCTATGAACTATCCTGTTATAGCCATGAATGTATCCTGGAATGGTGAAGTCCAATAGTCAAGCGTAAGTGAAAGTTTTGTACTAGATGGGAGTTTTTGTAGTGTGTCTTGTTGATACTCTATAAGGAAACTCCGGAGGTGTTTGCCAATTACCTTTCTTGACGGGACGCTTGGTGGTGTGGGTGTTAGCCGTGCGTAGGAAAGGAGGTTACGGAATTCTTGATGCTCGAGGAATCGGAAAGGTAATTGCGATATAGTGATGAGATTAAGAATCTTCTGCTCCCATGTTCTTTGGGTAAAAGTGGGTGCTGGTCTTCTCTCGGCCTAAGGGAAAGTGAATTAAGTATTATTATTAACGTTCACCTACGTTAGTTCGAACTTACCGCGTTACTAAGTAGTTGATGGATACTACCATTACCCTTCTCCAGTAGTCGCTGTCGGCACCTTGGTCCATCGAGATGTTTCTGCATTGTCGATGTTCCAGTATGGTTCGTAGCTGGATGCGCGAGAACTGTACAGCAGTGATTACACATAACCCCTGGCTTTCCATCTTTGGCATTTGCAACTTGATGAAACCCTTCCCAGCACTTTGCACAACGGCTTCCAGGGCTTATATCCCAATTAATCCGCTTCGACTTACCATAGTTAGTGTGAAGCCACCACTGAACGAATTCTGCAGACATCGCTGGTGTGCAGATAATAAACTCGTTAATGCGGTCGGGCCTCATTCGCGGAAGGGTATCTGGGGCTTGAGATGCCACACGAATTTGAACTCGGTTATCCGGAAGGTCAAGGGTTGAAGCAAACTGGCTCTCAGATTGGAAGTGACTCTGGCTTTTGCGTTGGGAGAGGGAATCGTCAGGAAGGAGGAATTGGAGCGCGTCTAATGGCACCCCGTCTGGAGTTTCGAAGCTAGACGATAGGTAGACTTCGGAGAGCTGAGACATTATAGATTCAGTAAACTGGAAGATAGTATACTGACCGAGAATAGTGATAATAGAGAACTTACTGGTTTGTTTATACGAAAAGATATATGATGTTCTCGGGGTATCTATTTGACCCTGTTGTATATGCTAGAATTGATGTATCATTTTTTGTATCCACCTCTATAGAGTTAATCCGCTAGTACAATGAATAACCCGATAATCAACCCTCCCAGCACCTCAGTACACCTCAAAAAGACCTTTCATTGCCCCTAAACGCACCTCAATGTCCCTTATTGCACCTCAATATGACCCTTTAGTTAAGAAAAAAGCTATAATCAGAACGGCCAAGTCCAACAATTAAGAACTTTGAACTCGGTTCATGACATGTCTACATGCATTATCCTTAATCCTCAAAGGCAGAGTGACGGAAGAAGACTTAAAGGTCTAAATAGCATCGAAATCAGTGGAATTTAACGACATCTTAGTAGTTTTCTTCAAAAGTGCAGCTCTACCTATGAAGATATTTATACTGTGTGGTATGTGCGATATATACAACTACAACTTTATATGCTATTTTTGTCTATAACCCTCATTGACCACCTACAACGTCGAAATCATTGAATATTACTTATAAATCATAGGTGACGACGCCTACTATGTAATTTTACATGACTATTACTTCATAAATCATTATGTTAATAGAGTATTCGATGAAACGGCTGTAGATCAACGGAACAGCTGTAAAAAACAGCGATGAATCATCCATTTTATCCAGCCAAAAGAGGAAAAGCGTCGAAAAATCATGCAAATGCGGGTTCATGCGAGTCGATGCGGGTTACCATCCAGCGACCCTCCCCACCCTCAGGGTCGGTTGAGGTGCAAAGCCAGGTCTAAGAATCAGAGAGGAAGCGATGAGGGTCAGGAGTTCTGACCACCGAGACAAAACAGTAGGATGGCACTAAGCAAAAGCCGTGGTGGTTTGATGATGGCGAAACTTCCTCAATAGCTGCAATGCGTTTCGGGAGATAGACCATTGGTCCATTGCAGTTTAACGGCGTACTGCCTTGACAGCTGCCGAGTTTTCCTGGAACTGACGCAGCATGGCGAATGACGAGACATAGTTTACTTTAGATAAGTTTTACGCGATGCAATCAGCTCGACTCTCGTCGATGAAAACAACACCAGTTCATCTGAACCGGTTCCTCTCAATAATTTCCAGGGATCGACGCCATGGCTCTCGACACTGCCAGAGTGAGGATGGTGAATAACTAGGAGTATCCTGTTCTGTTAGGCCCATTTAAGGAATTCCGAAAAGACATACTACCCGTAGTAGCCTACAAACAACAGCATCCATTTACCTCCTCACGTCCTTCCTCGTCTTCTTGTCGAAAAGTCTTTCTAGCAATTTCCTAGAAATCTACAAGTGGCTCTGAGGTTATTTTGAGACCATCTGGCCTTGGTAGTTCTCCCTAGGAGAAAGTCTTTGCCGTTCATATCTGTGAATATATAGACTAACACTCTTATTAATTACTTTACATTATTCAAAGTCTGTAGCACCTTTGCTCTTCTTTCTGGCTATAGAACCGTAGTACATGAAGAGATACGGCACGGGTGCTAGGGGTGCTGCGAGACACCCCAACAATGTGAGAGTCCAGTGCACACCTAGGTTTTCGTACATTGGCACCGAGACGATAACCATAGGGCCGGCCTAAAGACGCGAATCAGCATGACAGGTTTCTCAAAAGATGCGTCTTGGGAGCGCTCACCACGCAGTATCGTGTTACTGTCATGCCCACCAGAGCACTCGCCGATAAAATCCCGTAGCTATCAATAATGTACTGATAGCTTGAGATGTAAAGTTGCATTATAGCGTAGCCAAAAGCTACATTGCCTACCAAGGGCGACCAGTGACTGACATTAGGCCAACTTGTCCAACCTATCCAGAAAATGCTGATAGGCAGAAGAGGTGCTCCAACAATCGCGTGGGTGAGTCTCTCTTCTGGCACCACTTTTTGTTTTCCTTGCTCGTGAGCCTCAGAATTCCTACGTTTGAATCGGATGTGGATGGGCCATATGGTAAAAAGCTGCAAGGGCTGTTTGTTAGTGGATGCAGTAATTCATGTGAAGAGTTTCACGCACCGAGAGGAGGAACCCTATATTGATCACGATATAGCAAAGGCCTGTATGTGCCTGGTTCAGTCCATAGATCCCAGTGCTACCGAATATGAACTCACGACCTGGCAGGAAGCCAAATAGGACCGTGTAGATGACGGCCATGTACAGCGAGAAGATCTGGATGTTCGGCTCAGTAAGCAAGAACTTCAGGAGTAACTTGACGCTGCGCTGGAGTTTTCGGTAGAGATGAATGGCTTCGATCTCGTGCTCTGAGCGGTACAGCTCATTGCCAGTAGCCTTACGCAGCGCCTGCGCTTTCCATTTAAGGAGTACTGGAGCGAATGTCTCTGGAACGAAAAGCAAGATAGACAACAATAGAGTACCGGTTAGGATCAATGTGAGCCATTCTGTAGGAAGATTTAGCAGGAGGTTCGAGACGAGGGGTGACAAAGCCTAGAGTTTGCATGCACCTGTCCATTGCCAGCTGATCAGCGGACTAGTCCCCATGAAAGCTGCGACCATTGGTGCAAGGAAAGGCCCCAGAAAACATAAGCAGAGAAGCAAGGGAAATACATAGGTGCGCTCGACTGGCGACCACAGGTCTGCTGTTGTGCCGCCAAAGTTCGTAAGGGGGGGACAGCCGAACAGGCCAGCAAAGAAGCGGCATGCAAGCCACGAGCTGATTCCTGGTGCAAGTCCAGCTCCCATGGCGAAGAGAGCAAATATGATTAGACCTAGAAGCGTCAGCTCGCTATACTTGACAAGGATTCATAGGCGTGCCGAAACGTACTGGCAATGTACACATGGTTTCTGCCCAGGATTTCAGAGAAGGGCGCGCTGACCAAGCTACCGAGCCCGAACGCAATCATGAACAACGCTGTGCCGAGCAGAGCGATTTCTGTACACGCGTTACCACCTTGCATCGTTCCCTTCCGAGATAACAATCAGGCTTCCTCGTCCATTTACTTAGGCTGTCATCTGAGTTTATGCAGGAAGATAGTTGACCAGTTTGTTACCCCAAATCTCTTGTCCTTCAGTAATATTTCCATTTGCATAAATATAGAGGAAAAGTTATCGTAATAGGGCAAAATCTGCAGCAGGGCATTGCAAACGACCTGGTAAACCACGGTTAAATTCACTCATGCCTGATTGACATTCAAATAACCAAGATCAGGTTTCTTAGTCGCCCTGGGCCTGAGCCTTCTTTTCATACATTTCATACGCAGACCTCTTCTATCATCCGATCGGCATCAGTCTCCGTGACACATAGTATAGAGGTCCAATCAGGGTTATCACTTACCAACGTGGCTTCCCTGGCCGCTGCTTTTTTCGCTTCCGCATGCTTTTCCTTTTTCTTTTCCCTCGCTGCCGCCTTTTCATATGCGTTCTTCTTCAGATACAGGAACATTGTGTGATAGTTTCACAGAGATATGACGCCCGAATTTAAGCTTGGTAGAAAGTAGGATTTGAAGTTTGTGGATGCAGTACTGATCCACAGACTGTGAGTCGCAGTATGTATGGATGGATGATATCATTTACCCCGACCCCTCGCCGAAGTTGATTACACCCGGGTCAGGGCGGTGAGTAATCTCGAACTACGCACCAAACCCTGAGTACTCTGGCATCCCCTACGCAGCACGATCGATCTCAAGCCCCTCCCTCCCCGCCTCCCGGTTTTAGTATAAGTGAGAATGGATTCGAGCCAACAAGTTAACATGGCCCACGTCATCTCAAATCCCTTCAACTATCTGACTGGGAAGGAACAGCCTTCGACGAGAACCCGCCATCCTGTATCCACTACCGTATGGAGTAGCGAGTAATAATCAAGAACCGCGTGAAGTACCATCACGTTCCAAATCGATGGTATTTGCACTTCACTGTACATGGATAGTGTGTAATATAAATAAGGCTGATAGGCTTCATCATTTCTCTTCAAAATATGTAGTAATATTTTCAGCATGACCCTTGCTCATCTCTCTCACAGGGTATCTCAGATAAAGTGGGCCAACACGCCGCGACGTTATCTTATGGTAGCCCGGGGAAGTTGCATGGTGCTCGATCGATTGTGCTGCGGCAAGATGACGGTACGCCCACGGGTGTCTCATCCGTGACATCTGGGCTCGTCTACCCTGGCATCGGCCCGGAGATTGCAGTACTGCATGCAACCGGCCGCAATTCCGTCGCAACAATTCCGGGCGAAGAAGTTATCAGTACGTTTTCTACATAGCGAAATTCGAGGGGATCATCCCGGCGTTGGAAAGTGCGCATGCTGTGGCGGTCGCGATCCGATTGGCGTCGCAACGCCTGGCGTCCGAATGGATACTGGTCAATCTTTCTGGGCATGTCAATAAAGACGTTGACTATGTGCCTGAGAATCATGGGACAGGCTCATAAGGAGTGTCGAACATTCAAGCATCAAATGATAATTGTTAAGTGATGATGTGTGGTAGAAATTTCTCACCTGGTAGATAGACCGAACTAGGATGTGATGAGAGGCCAGAGGAAGAAAGTCAAATACCCGTATTGGCTGGCTCGAAACTCCAGTAAATAAAGGGAGAGAAGACGACGAGAACATACCTAAGTCTTGGAGAGCCGGAGGTTTCCCTGATGCTCCAAAACAATTTCACACAGCCTTGCTCTGGCAAAACCTTCGAAGTCGATCAATCATATTAGTTGCCGTGTTCAGCAGTTGGTGGAGACGTTATCCCCCCACTTTGGCAAGGCTCTCATGCGTGGCTGAAAAGGTGACGAAATTCCCCTTGGCTTCGAGGCCGGAGTCCCTTCTTCTGGTTCCGGTTGCATGACTTTATCATAACTATTATTCTTGGATACACAATAATCGCGATCGGTTTCTTAGACAACAAACAACATTGCAATCTGAAACTTTGCTAAGAGACTGGATGGTCTCTCACTTTAGGATGTTTCACTATCCCCTAGCTGACTTCTCACTGCTTGAATTGGAGATAGATATCTTGGGACTCCAAAGCTCTCCGTTCTGAAGAGAAGACCTAATGGAGTCTTTACTACCAAATGAAGTATCACCCCTTACATAGATGTACGGCCTCATCATTAGCGCGAGGTATTTCTGTCACGATATTGAGAAGGTGACGGTTGAATATCTTCACCACCGTATAAAACAGATCACCAAAGAGCTCACATTGTTTCTGCCAACGCAAGGCTGAGTAGTGGTTTCCTGATTGAGGGTTACAGAAGCTGTTTATAGATCTGGACCTCGCCAAGTACGGCATATACTGACTGGTTTTCCCCTCTTTTGCATGATTGTATGATCTTCATATGGAGACTGAATGACTCATACAGGTCCACCCTGGCAGATTGCCCGGCACAGCCTTGTCTTGGGTCTACTGCGCCCTCATATACGGAGTAGGGTCGGAAACAAGGCGCTTTTGCCATATTGACCAAATGGCATATAAACACCTCGGCGGCTCGCAAAATAAATGCACAGATAGAGACAAATCTCAAAGAAACCAACACAACCTATTATACTCATTTTACTAATCACCAGCATGAAATTGGCCACCGCTCTCTCCGTGCTTCCATTCCTAGCTGGCACCAATGCCCTCCCTAAGGCCCAGAGACCTGCCCGCTTCGACGTTATGGTCACCAGTGAAGGCCCCATCCAGTATCGTGCGCTGGCATCTTCTTCCTCTTTCTTCTGGCTGGGAAAAGGCGATGGCTTCACCGACTCTTACTGTCCTCCCGACATAGAGAAGACTGGTCGGTGTCCTCCTGGTAAAGACACCGTTCTCAAGAATGCCCACACGTTGGTATGATTTTCTCTTTCCTCCAATCTCATATTCAAGGCCTGACTCACCCTTCTCTTCAGGACTCTGTTCTCCCCGGTCAGATCATCTACGTTGATTCCAACCGTGCCGTGAGGGCCACCGGTCCCAACCAAACCGAAATAGAGGAAGATGGCACCGTTCAAAATCCAATTAAGGCAGATGATCTCACCGACGGGTTCAAATACGTTCCCGGAGACCGCCACGGCACATGGACATTCAAGGACCACGGCGCCGACGGCTTCATGGCTTGTCCTTACCAGGAGGATATCTACCAGGTCTATGTCAATAGCCCGGGCGCGAAGCCTCAAGGGCACAACCTCGACGATTGTGTGCCCTTCACTGCGGGTGCGTTTGAGTACAGCCTTCCTGCGAATACCACTGCTGCTGCTTGGGAATACTAGGCAGAGAGCATATGCAAGGGACCTCTGTTCCTTCAAAATCCGCGTCTGGATACCTGGCTGCCCCGGCGGGACACAAGCGTCACTCCCATAATAGCTACTGGCTTTCTCGATTCATTCGTTTAACCAACCAACCTCAATGCAATTTGCTATTGATTCCTAACCCCTGCGTATGATTTGTCGCTCAAGACGAAAAATCTGATCTGCGATGCGTATATGTCTCTTTTGTCTACTCCGAGAACAAATTTCTTCAATACCCCTCATTCACATTGATATATCGATAGGGGTATCATTGTAGATCTCGGCCTACCTTGCTTGCGAATTTGTCCTCTTGGGCGAGATTCTTTAGAACTAATATGCAGTGTTGGCCCGTATCAAACACAAAAATTGGCCCGCAGAGTGTCTCCACAATGACTACGAATGATGTGGACTGAATGCGAAAAGAGTTGGCGAACAACGGCCTTGTTGGCCAGAAAGAGAGACGCAATCGTTTCCCACATTCTTCTTGTCTTAATCTTCTTGACATGAACTTGAATTAGACGATGCCGAAGGAACAACTCCAGCTTGAAATGACCTGGGAAGGGATCGTCGCCGAACCGGTTGGGGGCCAAAACACGTGAGCAAGATCAGATTCGATGAAGCGGGTCTCACACTGATTCTCATTAGCAGTCCTAGTTACGAAAAATCCTCATTTTCGAGGTGGAGGATATGGGCAGAGGCTGACCGTTTCACTCACAATCACAAACCATCGTCATGTCTTCCTGTCGTACGAAGTGCTCGGAGCGACCGACCCCCTTGTCTCCCAACAATGATATCACTGGACCTGGAGTTCGTTCCCTGAAGTGTGCCACGGTTCTTACTCTTACAAAATCAGGTAATCATCAACTACGTTGCATCTGCAGGAATCGCCGTCTTCGTAATCATGCTTTACTTCTTGGTGGCTTTTGACCCAGCCCGTGATCCATTCGCAAAGGATGAAAAGTCCGCAGAAGACCCGCCATTTCGTCCCAATGCGATTGATCTGCTTATTACGCGCAAATTAAGAGGCTGGGTCCTGGGATGTATGAGTCAATGTCTCAAGAACAGACTAAAGAACTCATTTGTTAAGGTATACTCTAACTACTCATCTATTTAGTGCTTTCTGGGCGCGAGATCATCGTTGATTTATACTAGTGTGTCGTTGCAATAGGCGATCTTCAATTTGTCACGGGATTCTCAATCCTAATCAGTGATACTATTCAGCTGAATTACGGCTTCGCTATCTATGAATGGAAAATTGTCGTCTATCTGGCATAGTTCTCTTGTCTGACTCATTTGTTTTGTCTGATAGCTCTACAAAGCTACCTTTACGTCTACATTATTAGAAGGACCTAGAGGTTAGTTGCAATAGGTGTACTTGCTATACTGCTGATAGTTGGGTTACTTTCCACAGCTAATTATGCCCATCTTCATAATCAATGTTCTTACCCTTCAGATTATGTTAAGTGCTATTTGAAAGCTTATCGCTCCTCGGATATAGCACTTTGCTTAATGGTCCTTTCGGTCTTGACTATAGCCATTGGATTTATTTTTTGCGTGATGAAATTATATAAAATGCTGTCTGTTATACTTTGGGAAGGGCTCAGAATCCGGGTCAGTTATGATAGTCGAACTATACTGCGTGTCATCTACAGGTGGTGTACCAAAAGTAGCCTAATGTAAGGATTGGACTTCTCTTTGGTATATCGATCTGTGTTGGCAGTGTTCCTTGTAGTATGTTTTGTATTAAATATATAGGTTTTTATGTTTGTAGAGGTATGTTCATATTTTATCGTTGGCCTCAATATTAATAATCTGATTTGAATAAACGCTGTAGTATTTCATTGCTTTTTTTTGAGGTGTCGTCCGTCTAATGACTGAACTCAACAACACTTTCTATAATCAAGGTTTGTGGACAAAGACTGTAGGGCAAAATAAAGGTAAGTGGATTTTGGACAAGTTGTATCCTTAGTGCTGCTGGTGGCACTTCTTCTGAGTCTGTTGGAATATTTAGACCAGGGTATGTCTCTTTCGATGTTGTAGTGCCTTTTGGCGGAGTATTAATTTGTCTTTAACAAATAGATACTTCTATTGGTGTCTGAAAACGGTGTCTAGGAGTGTTTCAGAACCCCACGAGTCTATGGAACGTCCTTTCAATCCTATTCTACCTTAAAATATGGAAGCAGTTTCAATTTCCGAAGATCTGGATGGGAACTGGTCTAACGATTCCGAGATTCTTGGGGTGGCCATTGTCTACGGTCTTATCTCGATGATAATTTTTATCATGCAAATATTTTTGCCCTCCATGACTGAATCTTTGTTTGAGATATTGTTCAGTCTAGAATGGGGTATCAAGGTAGTTCTTGCGTTGACGGGCATCCATAAAGTCGTTCTGTTTTCTTTGCTTATTCAGTCGGAAGTGAGCAAAGACAGAAAGAGGGCTCGTCGCTGTCTGCAAGCTTTGAACGTTGCATTCTATGTGCTCAGCTCCAAATTCGGGGGTGCGAACTTCGCGGGCGTGTATTCAATTGATGACAAAAGCTACATTTGGTCGAATTCCTTGCAATGAGGAGCTATGTTATTCTAGATGCGGGTTACCACAAGTATGTAGAACGCGAACCATCAGCGTCTTCTTTCTAGCTCATTTCCCAGTTCTTTCTAGAATTGATATCTACAAGCTCAAATGGTTTTGTTTGTGTGTGGCCCAACTTTCCCAATATTCGAGTCCAATTTGGCTCTCATGGGGACCGTAAGCTTCATCGGCTTTGCGCAAACAGCTCTTCCCATCTCCATAGTAATCGGATTCTGAGGAAACGATCAATCCATCAAATCACATTGGCCAATCTGATAGGTTCCAACGTGAGGCTGAACGGCGATTTGGGGAAGTGTACAATCGAACAATTTCATACATTATGCCCCTCGTTGGATTGGGTACATTGCTTATGAAAGAATCTGACAACGTGATTCAAGTATGCTTTTTCTGTCGAACCCAAAAATCATATCAATGTTGAAGGTAAGGCATCCGAAGTGGAGCGGCTGTACATCTTCTCGTGCGTGCCCACGAGACTCGAGATCGGAATTATGAGATCCAGTTCAAGATTGCCAGGGCAACAACAACCGACACATCAGATACTGGTCATTGGTTTGAGCGTTTCTACACATGATTAGCCACTATTTTCGGCATCTAGCGAGCGCGACAAAAACGGGATAGTAGGCTCACACTAATTGGAGCGCTGGGGTTGCCAGCAGCCTCGACCTGCTTACTATCTTCGAGTGGAATATTGGGTTTTGGACTTTTGTCGTCTTGGGGTCGACGGAACTCAATGTTAGCTGTGCAGCAGCACACTAGAGCCGCCAATCCTTCTAAAAGAAATCCCACCGCGGAATCCATTTCCTGGGGCTATAGATGACAGTCAACACCCTCTTTCAATGTCAGTTTGAGTCACAGAAACAGGTGAAGATGAAATGTCATGTGTAATTACATATGTCTTCTGGAAGTTTTAACTTCGTAGAAAATAGCCTACGAGGCTCTGTCCAGCCCCTGTGGTATGATGACGTCAAATCAGGGGCAAACCGGTTAATAACATCTTCCCGATTGAAGACCGGAAGGAGTTCCACCTAAAAAGAGCTACAAGTGCTTACGCATGATTCGTCCTTACGGTTGACGCTAGACACCCTGCTTGCCTCCACGTATGTTACCATTTAGGGACATGTAATTTGCTGCCCATTGATTCTATGTATGATCAGTGTTTATTAAGCGCTTCAGCTTATACCTACTTTAAGAAAATTCTATTTTGACTCTTTTCCAAATCACACAAATCATCAAAGCCCTGGAATTTGGCCGGAACTCTCTTTGGAAGAGCCAGATTTCTCGCAACACAGCCTTGTGGCAGTTCGATAGAAAGTCAATGCCAAGTGGCCATTTGGTTCCCTACGTGGAGCCGAAGTGTGGGTCCTCAACTTCCTTAGCGCAACTCCGATTTGACCATTTCATTTCCGGGACGATAGTAACTAGTTTAGAAGTTCGGAGCTCGAGCGAAATTGCGGGGCCTTCTTGGCAATTCTCCCCTGAGTGCATGAGATCAGCTCGTGAATGGGCGTAATTTGTTGGCATTAGCTTCTAAGGATTGAGGCTGTGAATTTTGCGTTTCCACTACGATAAGCCGGTTTATCCGTTGCCAAGAACCCCTAGAATCTCAAACACTTATTTCAGGTTAAACACTCCTTCGCCTCTGTCAACACCCCCAATCATCATACTCTGGACATTCATTATTCGAGGACAATGTTTTTATTAGGATCTCCATATCATGTTGCCCGGTCTCGACGACAAAGGTCCTCCAAGCTGGGAAGGAGGCAGCAGCGAGAAACAGTTCTTAATACTACTAGAGCTTCTTCTGGAACGGAACACCAATCCGGTTCGTCAACTGCAAACACTTCCGGCAGTGATAAACCATGCACATGTCCGTCATCAAACTTCCAAGCAAAGAATGAAGCCGGCTGTAAGGCTCTTATGACAGCAGGATATAGACAACCAACTCACCTTGACAGCAAATGAAACACCAGTCAACTCATCCTTCGATAAAGATGATCCGCCCCCTCCATACCCTGAGTCTGCCTCCCAAGTGAACCTCGCGCCATCACAACGCAACGCTATCTAATTTCGGGTGAACGCTGAGCTTGCAATTTGAGTGTTCAATGCAAGGTCTTGGAGCTACAAATGCTAGATCCAGGCTTAAAATCTGCAGTAGATTCAGAAAGAGAAGAGGGGGAGAGAGACTATAGACTAGGTCTACAACCACAGAAGTAGGGTTGATGCCTCAGACCTCACAAAGTTGTTGAAGCCAAAATCTATGGACCCATTATGTTTGCACTGTTTGTTTATTGATTATCTGACATGTAATTACACCCTAGTATAAATTGCCAGAAGACAGGGGTGCCGAACTGAGGGGTGGTATTTTACCACTAAGGACAGGGTTATTCACCAAGTGCCCATCCTCTCTTTGTCTCTGTATGGTAAACAGGGTATGCTCGGCATACCAGCGTCGTAACACGATAGGAACGACTCCTAAGATCTGATAACGCTTCAACAGCAAGATCCAGATAGAACAACAATCAATGCATCTCAATGGGACACCTCAATACTAGCACATACCAGTATCCGTCAGTCCGACATATTGTCCTACTCATGCATTAGGGTTAGACCTGTATCTATAATACTGGATTGTAACCCACACAACTCCACTACAATACAACCAATATACACACAATAGCTTTGTTGACTAATAATGGGCTAGTCCGCATTAGGAAAATCACCCATGCAAACCAGGCATCCGGATTCTATGGTTCCGACATTGGACCGCTTCTGCCCCTTCATAACCCACCCCGCCGCTGAGGAAATGTCTCTCAACGACCTAATTTTGTAGGTCAGACACGATCAGACATCAACCTTGGAATGCCCGAAAAAGGCACAAACAACTCCCCATCAATATGTGCAGTTACGATTGCTCGGTGCACCCAACTGATATCAACGAAGATAATGACATCACGGGGATCGGAGTAAGTGTAGCCAATTGCGAATTCACCTCAAGATTCGAAATGCTTACCTTCCTTCGAAGGTTTTAATTGGATACTGCGCAACTGCGGGCATCGCGGTGTTCATTATCGTGTTTCACTACTTGTTTTCCTACGAACCTCGTCTGGACCCTTTTCAAAAGAGGTAGGCCAATCCTCTACTATGTATACGGCCGCGACCGAACCCAATTGATGAAATAGTGCTTAGAGGCCCACGAGAACTCTTTTTCAAGGCTTTTGGTATAACGAATAGCGGGCGGCAAAATCATGCCCGGTTCGAAAAGTCGCTCGTCAAGGTATGTTGCAGAAATGAGCACCTAGATTGAATAATGTTTAGCAATATTCAAACGAAAACATAGTGTATTCTCTCTATGAGTGATGTTCAAATTATTACCGGCATCTCTATCATTGTTAGCGGTGCGGCATAGCTCAAATGCGGAATCTCGACACACCAATGGCAGGTGCTGGTCTACCTCGCATGGTTCTCTAGCCTGACCCATCTCTCATATCTGACTCTTCTCCGAAACTACCTACATCAGCGACCGGCAGAACGGATCTGGCGGCTCTTCTGTATGTTTGTACTAGTTGTACTACTGATATTGGCATTCCTTCTAATGGCCAACTACAGATGGCAATATGGATATTCTACAAAAAGCACCGGTCGTCCTGCACTTCAGGACTATGCCATCTGTTATCTAAGGCCAGTACAACGTTCTGATCCAGCTTGGGATTATATGCACGCTTCGGTCGACAACGGTCATGCCTTTAGTGATTCTGCTATAATGGTCATGTCTATATCAGTCGTTTTGCTGTTCGTTGGCTTTGTGTGCAGGGTGTTGAAAATGCACCAGAGTCTGTCATATTTTTTTGCTCGGACTATCTGTGGTAGTATCAGCCGTATGCTACGCAAACCTTTGCGAACAATTGAAGGCTGGTGTGTTACTTCAAGTTTCCTTTACAGTTTGCAAAGGCTTCTGTTGTATCGGCCTCTTTTGGCCCTTTTCCTCACTCTACGTATTCTAGTGGATACCTGGGACTCGATGTTTTTTGAAGTGGGTTCATTAATGATTCAGTTTAACCCTAAGCTTACTGAAAACCCAGGTCTGGTGGCTAATAATTAGTTTCATTTGGGGTGTTCAGCGTTTGTTCAGTACCGTGCGTTTCTGTTCCAATAAAGAAGACATGGAGTGGAGCTTCGGTTAGGTTATGTCTATTGCACTTCTTGCTGTTCCTTTGGTGACTGTCTTTGAGTTTTTCTATCCGGATGAGTTTAAAGTGTATCTGCAATTGGTCTCTTCCAGTAATTGCTGACCCATCTCAAGAATCTAAGATTCAAAAAGTGGAGGAGCGTCAGGGTTAAATGTACTCTGTTTCGGTCGACCGAAGTGAGGTTATCTCTGAAATCCTGGCTTACAGCGAGCTTGTCTTACCGTTTTCGCAAGATTTGGCTCGTAGGATCTTCAATGACCATCCTGACTACGAGTTTTACTACGAATCCTGCTCTCTGGTCGCTTCTGCTGTAACGCTGGTTCTCTCTGTTGTTTCTCTTTCTCTTTGGTGTCTCATACGGGCATGTACGTTTAACGGCCTAGAAGGCCTGGGGTTTTTGTAGATCTCCTTTTATCCTTGGGGCTTGACACCTTTGGTATTGACTTTTTGCATCTTCTATGGTATCCTTTTCTCCTTTTTGATTGCTACTATCGGATTGAAAAAACAACGTAAGGGAGAGAGTCATAGCATGTTTGTGGGATCACTATCTGTGATAGTAATCATTTGCTTGACTGGTGCCGCTTTTGTGATGTTTGCTTTTGGGGTTTCTGGGCCTTACTCCGGTTGGGCCGTCCTTGGTGTGGCTGGTTTGTACTTCCTTTGCTCTTTGTTTGCTTCAGCCGGTGATTGGCATACAAGAGTTCACCTCGCCGAAGTATAATAGGCTCTTGCCTTGGTGACAGACTCTAGATATTGAAATGCAATTGTATTATTTGCAGCTTTTGCAGCAGTTTGCCAAACCTTGGGATTATATTTTATCCTTGTAGAGTAGTGATGGACGTCTGATGTAGAAACAAATAGGAACTACTTCCAAGGTTGAAAGACTTGGCCTTTTGATATCTATAGGTCGCCTAATCGGAAGCCGTATGGTATCCGACTGGATGAAGTATGATCAAGTGATTATTCGGCGTGTTACAACACCGTACTTCCGAATGTGCCCGGAATACCGTACAAATACTGGGGGGAATTGGGTGAACGATGAAGAAGCGTGTCCCAAAGGGTCCTAGTGGTATTTGACCACTCTCTCAGTTCGTCGTATTTTCATGGTCACAAGTTCGAAAATTAAGTGTTGACGTGTGGCCAGACCCATAACTCTATACAACCAATACCACACTAAAGCGAGGCTAGGAAAAAGTCCATGATTTCGAGTATGAAATTGTAGGCGCTTTTCGGTGATTCATTGTTGAGTCATTCACAGGTGAGGTATCAGAAGAAGAAATATGAGCCTGTCATTGCGGGTTGAATGTACTCAGTGCCTCAATTTAAAAGGGCAGTGAAGGATTCAACGGTCAGCCAACGTTTCTGGACCAACTCAGCATGCTGTTGTTCAACACTACTCTTAATTATCACTCTCACTGAGCATCTAAAGCATTAAAAATGTCGCTGCAAATAGTGGCGGTTAAAGAAAACGTGGGTTCCAACAGGCCTCAATTACGACAGGCGTCCTTCAATACTGCCTGTCCAGCTTGTAATTGACAGAAGCCGAGAACCCCATAAATACGTCCTCTGCCCCCGGCAATTTGCTCTACAATTTGTTCACTTGACTACGCAAAGTCGAGCAGGATTGTATCTGAGTCACTTGGTAAGTTCTCCCCCTTGACCCGGAACTGAATTCCACTGTACTGACATTCATAGAATATATCGCGGACCAGCAAGCCAGACAATTGCTCCCTCGCTGCCCTGAGCCCCGCGAGTGTAAAAAGGTGCTCCCTCGCTGTATTACTTATGCAATCAGATTTCTAATGCAGCCATTGTTTTCTATGTCTTTTATTACCAGGCCGTTGCTATTGAACCTTGATATCTTGCTTCCTGGAGTAGTCAGTGTGATCTCCAAATGATATTCGAACATAGGGCGCGTTTAGATGGCGGTCATAATTGGGTTGCAACTTGATTCGCAAATCTAGTTGCCGAGATAAACATTACTAATCTAGGTTCTACCTTGAGTCGTGCATGACGCTATGACGTATTTAGTTTTCTATCGGCTACTTTTACCACGAATCAAAATAGATTATTCAAACAGGGATATGAACGAGTTATAAACCTCCCTATTTCACTGCTGAAAGATTATGGATACCGCGTCTGCACCTCCGAACATTATATCTCCGTTCATTTACCGACATCATACTGACTCCATCAAACTGTTCCCATTTGAAACCGTCTCTGTGATCCAGGTCCTGCAAACGTTTGCCCATTGAAGAGCCTATCAAACGAACCTTCCTTCCCCCGCCGCCGCCCGCCAATACAATGTACAGAATGGGAGAAAACATTTGGGGGTTTGATCCTGTTCCGGGACATTCGCGAAATCCACCACTGGGTTGCTCTCAGTGCGAGAACAGGCTCCTTATATCAAAGGAGTCAAGCACGAACACACCAAGCTGTCATCTATCTGCTATTCAAACTATGTGTTCCAGCTCGCATTTATCAGACAAGCCATCAAAAGCTCCAGCTCCGGAAAGCACTATGGACATCTACCGATTTCGTCGGAGCAAGGAGACAGTTGTCACTAAGGTTAACGATTTCTGGGGATTTGACCCCCCTGTCGGCGCTGCCCACGAATTCCACCCCGACAGAGGATGTTGTTAAGTGATCCACTCAAGAATTGTCATGATTACAGTTCGGTCACGAGCAACGTTAATGTTGACTGCGTTTGGTCAAAGTACCAGTGTGTCCAACAGTTCTGCTGTCATGACATGAAATTTTGGCCACTGTAAACTATCAAGTGGACCTCATGGACAGCGTGGCAAATATGGAGATTTGATTCATCTTTTTTTTAACACAATTCGAGTTTTTTTAGAAGGGCTCATAGATCAGGTTATGCGGAGCCTCGACTTTCGACAGGCACGGGTACATGACAAATAACAATCACTTTGAATATCAAACGCCCGAAAGGGATAAGCAATCTTGTGTACCAGATGTAATTCTTTAAATAACTAGCATACCCTCCCATCGGTGAGCCAAAGCCAAAACACAAACCAATGCCAAAACACAAAATTTCAATTTCATCAGTCTCAACCTCTATTTTTACCTGCCAAAATGCCTCTTTCTGCTCAAAAAGAAGATGAATCGCTATCTCAGGCCCTAAATGCATATTACACCAAAACTCTCTCCAGTATCAACTCTGCAGCTGCCCATTTTGGTGTGTCAAAGTGGAAGCTTCGAAATCGCAAAGAGGGCAAGCCTTCGCAAAACGGGCGCGATTCTACTAATAGTGCATTAAATTCATTGCAAGAAAAATCTCTAATTGGCTGGATTGAGCTCCTTATTTCGGTCTATACACCTCCTACAGCAATTGAAATTGGTGACGCTGCAAATCGCATTTTAATGCATGGAGGTTCTGACCGGAAGGTTAGCAAAATGTACGGATACAATTTTGTTCGAGGACTTCCCCCCCAATTTGACTCTACAAACCCAAAAGCCAATGAAAAAAGCGAGAATTGAAGCTGAAAAATATGGTCCATTACTTCATTGGTATGAGGTTTATGGTGATTTTATCAAAAAAAAAAAAAAAAAAAAAAAAAAAGAAAAGAAAAAAAAAAAAAAAAAAAAAAAAAAAAAAAAAAAAAAAAAAACCAAGAGAACTGGCAATGAGAAAGAGAAAGAAAAAAAAAAGATATAGACAAGTATAGACAAGTATAGAGAGATATAGACACAGAGACACAGACAGAAAGAAAAGAGACAAGGAGACATCCCTTTGGTCCCGTTCTGCACTTCCTTCCGCTCCGCGTCTTAGTCTCCTGCAAATTCTGGTTTCGCGTCAAGCTCCATCTCATCCCACACTTCCCTGTCATTTCAGTTGTCCTTCGCGCTTTCTGCTCATCTTGGACCTCCTAGGTCGCATGTGCTCGCAATAGTCGACCCGCCAAGGATGCTGCCTTCTGATCGCGCAGTCTCTGGCGTGTAGCCAACCTCTCACTATGTCACGCGCATCGGCCGGTTTTGCAGACTTCTTTCCCACCGCCCCCTCCGTGCTGCAACAAAAGCGCTATAAGAACGCCCAGGGTCGCAGGAAAACACAGGTGGATGAAATTCCCGACGGCTCCCCCGAGGGGCTAGCGCCGGCCGCCAAAGCATCGGGGAGCGCGGAGAGACCGGACACGGCAGATGGGAAAGGACCTCACACTCCTGCGCTCCAGCAGGAATCAGAATTGACCAGCGGCGCCCACGCGCAAGGCACGGAAGTCGCGCACCCGCCACCCGCCAATCCCCTTTTATCCCAAATGGAGACCTTGACGCCACTGACACAGACGGAGTCCTCGCCGCCGTGCAAGGTCACGAGCCCGGCACAGGCGAAGCGGGCAGGCGAGGTCTCCAAAATCTCTTCCAAACCGGAGCCCTCACCCCCCAAATCTTCCATCACTCCCATTCACACCCCGCCAACGCCGCAGTCGCAGTCTCGCACCCTCGAGCCGCGCGTCATCGGCTGCAAGGTGGTGTATGACCCTGATCTGGACAAGCGAACGCCGTCGAAGGAAAAACGAAGGAAGCTGGAGTATGTCGATATCCTGAGTACCAATCAAGGAGATCCACCGCCCGATCCGCGACTCGCAATTCCCAATTATACCCGAGGATCCGGGTGCAAACAGAAAACCAAATACCGACCAGCCCCATACACGCTGAAGCCATGGGCATACGATGTGGCCACCAGCATCGGGCCGGGACCCCCGGTGCAAGTGGTGATCACCGGGTTTGACCCGTTAACGCCAATTGCGCCGATCAGCGCGCTGTTCGCAAGCTTTGGAGAGGTGGCCGAAATCAAGAACCGCACAGATCCGATCACCGGCCGGTTTCTCGGGATCTGCTCCGTCAAATACAAAGATAGTACCTCAATGCGTGGCGGATCGGTTTCAGCAACCAGCGCGGCGCGACGGGCATACTTTGAGTGCAAAAAGGAACAGCGCATTGGAACCCGCAGGATCAGGGTTGAACTGGATCGGGACGGTATTGTCTCTGATCGAATGACCACCAAAGCAGTGGAGTCCCAGCGGTTGGCTTCCAAGAATAATGCCCCCTCAGCCAGCAATCTCCCGCCAAACGAACCACCCCTCAAGAAAAGCGAGCCGCCGCCCACCGCACCCAAGGGTCCCTCCGGTCGATCCTCGATTCGCCCCGGGATAGCAATTCCAGAAGGCCCCCGGGCCGCAGTTCGACCCCCACCGGCGGCCCAATCCTTAGTAGAAGAGACGGCGATCCTCAGCCAAATCAAGCGGGATCCATACATCTTCATTGCCCATTGCTACGTCCCCGTCCTCAGCACCACAGTTCCGCATCTCCGAAAGAGACTGCGGGTCTTTTCATACAAACAGATTCGTTGCGACAAAACCGGCTACTACATCATCTTCGAGAATTCCCGTCGGGGAGAGGAGGAAACCGAGCGCTGTCATCAATCATGCCACATGCAGCCGCTGTTTACGTACATCATGAACATGGAAAGCCAGCCTTACGGGAATCCGAATTACGAGCGAAGCCCAAGCCCGGAGCGTCTGCGCGCGGAACGACGAGACAAAGCAGTGAAGGACCGAGCTAAGAGGGAGACGGAATTGGATATCGAGGAGGAAAAGAAGCAACGCGCATTGGACCTGGATCCCTGCCGAGAGGTGTTGTCTATCATCATTCGCGATCTCAGGGACAAGCTGCTCGAAGACGTGAAGTCGCGCATCGCCGCCCCAGCCCTCTATGACTATTTAGAGCCGAGTAAACATGCGGCCAAACGGGAGCGGCTGGGGATCGCAGACCCGGAGGGAACCAAGCGACCCGCCTTCCGAATTGACAGCACAATCGGGACTCCCGACCCCCGCGGTGATTTAACCACCGGGCGAGATCCATCCCAATCCTCGGGCCTTAATGTTCTCTCTCTTCCCCGGATCCGAAAGGCCAACGGGCTGGACCGTGCGGGTGCTGCCTTTTTGGACGAACGACGCAGGCAACCGCTCCGCAAAAAGGAAGTTCGTCCCTTGTACCATCGCTTGCAACAATTGCATGATGATGAAGACTCAGACGATGAACAGCATACTCCCGTTGCTCAGGATACCGATGAGCGTGATAGCAGACCTTTGAGTCGCGCAAGCTCTGCCTCATCCGAGTCCGGACGAGACCGAGAATATCAATCAGATGATTTAGGCTCATTCCAAGAAAGTGATGAGCATGCTCCGGCCGCTGACGATGCCTCCATTGACCTTCCTGGTGGTTCACGAGAAGACCACAAGCGAAAGCGGTTGGCCGAAGACTTGGAGGCCCGGAAAAGGCAGCGACAGGAAGATGAACTATTTGGCATTGACTCCCAGACTGCCGAAGTGGATGAGGCCGATCAAACCCTCGAAACCCCTGCAACGGTGGTCGAGGAACAACTTGCAGATCATATCAAATTACCGACGCATGATCATCCTGAAGACGCAGAGGTCTCGGCCGAAGAATCGGATGAGGATGGCTCGGTCGACCACCCCATCGATGAACCGAGAACGGAGATCGAATGGGGCGTGTCCAGGGATAAGCCTCGTGCCACCGTTGAAGATGACGAGAATGTCGTGCTTGACTTGGATGGTTGGCAACATTTGATCAAAGATGATGAAGACATGCGATTCCTTCGAGAAATTCTACTGGACCAGCCCAAATCCAACATTGGTAGTCTAGGAGCATGGGGTTGGAAGCAAAAAGAGATCAAAGCCCTCAATGGGTTGGAAACAGGCACCACAGCGCATCCCATCAGCATCCCTGGCTACTACGTGCCCAACGTCACGGGAGCTGCCCGGACCGAAGGTCGGAAAAGGATCATGGAGGCAGAAAAGTCCAAATATCTTCCACATCGAATCAAGGTCCAAAAGGCGCGTGAAGAGCGCGAGGCCAATGCCACAGCAGATCCTCAAGCCGCCGCCGCGGAAGCTGCCAGGATTGCTGCCGCCAAAACTATCTCGAAGTCGACATCCCGGTCGACACGAGTCAACAATCGACGACTCATTGCGGATATTAATGCCCAGAAGCAAGCTCTACCCACCGCAGGCGGCGATGGAGATGTTCTACGTTTCAATCAGCTCAAGAAGCGTAAGAAGCCTGTACGCTTTGCTCGCTCCGCCATCCATAACTGGGGACTGTATGCCGAGGAGAATATCACTGCCAACGATATGATCATTGAGTATGTGGGTGAGAAAGTACGCCAGCAAGTTGCCGATATGAGAGAAAGGCGTTATTTGAAGAGTGGCATCGGCAGCAGTTATCTCTTCCGAATCGATGAGAATACCGTGATCGACGCCACCAAGCGAGGAGGCATTGCTCGTTTCATCAACCACAGCTGTACCCCTAATTGCACTGCCAAAATCATCAAGGTGGATGGCAGCAAGCGTATCGTGATTTATGCGCTCAGGGACATCGAACGAGGTAAGTCGAGAGCCCCAATTTCAGTCGCCCAATTTACTAATCTCTTTTTGCAGATGAGGAGTTGACTTACGATTACAAATTCGAACGAGAATGGGACAGCGATGACCGAATTCCCTGCCTCTGCGGTTCGACCGGCTGCAAAGGATTCCTCAATTAAGCAATTTAAACGGAAAATGAACGTTGCTGTCAATGTCTATCCACATCTTGGGAGGGAAGCATTTGGCCCATCTATTGGCGTATCGGGCCGGCGTTTCAGGGAAGCATTGCGGTGTCAATGGCGTGTTTTCATAAACTACAATCCTTCTTGTACAATACATCAATTTCAAAAAAAAAGGATTTCACTGCTTGATACCTGTAATGTGAGATGTCGAGGGCTAAAGAGTGAAATGCAGCTGCTTTCGAACTCCCGTCTCCGTCTCTTTCAGCCCAGGTATCTCATTGTCCTTAATTGAAACTATGAAAGGGAAGAACATCCCAAACGGCCGCTGACTAGATCTCTGGGGTATATCGGATTTGCGTGGTAACATGGTCAGAAGTATGTAGGGGTTTTGCTCAGACTGGAGGACATTAGCGATCTCCCTTTTCGCGCGAACCTTACGAGGGAATAACTCTCACCTAGATGGCTTGGAAGGAGGAAGTTGGCGATCCCCTCTTTAATCATATAGGCGTGGTTGCAATTCCCACAAACCAACTTTCCTTCGGAAACATGTGTCTCAAGTAGCATCCGGTGCAGGTCTCTCATTGTCTGTTCATTTTCGAGAGCCTCGCCCTCTGGCTTTGCATCTGGAAGACTTGGGAATCCCAACTGGTGTGCGAAACAGTCAGCTGGGTTCATATTGATATATAAAAACACGATGGGTTCGGATTGGCCTTACCTCGTTGGCAGTCGCTCGGAGGGCTTCCCAGTCAATGCGGGGGATCACGTTACGGATAAATTCGGGCTGGAATTCCAATTCTTGCTGCTCCAGCTCGGCATCATGGAAATGGAGGGGAAATGATGCCGGGGACGTCTTGCATTCCTTCACGGCGCATGTCACGAAATTGGCGGTGATCACCTTCATTGCGGATATCGGAATGACTTGGACTTTGAATATAGAAGAGGTGCTAGAATCGCGAGGATGTGAATATTCAACTTTCCGGCAAACGACAAGGTGGTGTTGTTGACAATGTCGTTGTCACAAAAAAAAAAAGAAGAAAAGAAACGGGCCCCACGGCTTATCGATATCATGTGATCGACATCCCCCATATCCCACTACATCTACCTATACTTGGCAACGATATATGGAATGGCTGCAATGGGTGAGTATATTTTTACATTATCAACTGATTCTGCTTGTGTCTCAAGACTGCATTTGGAACCTAGACACCTGGTCTAATCATGACATCAACCAGATCTAGATTGTCAATGTCATGATCGCCCAGGCAGGAGTCCGGAGGAAGGTTGTCACCGTCAAATACAAGGGTAACGGAGTGATCGCTGGGGATGTTTTGCTTGTCTCGGAAGGCAGATATGAGTCGCGAGATGAGGGTCTTCTGCCTGGCTTTGATCTTGAAGTCTTCAAGCCCAGGACTCCTCAGAATCAGCTTCTTTGGCTCGTCCTGTGAGTGAGGCTTGTTATCAGACGTGCTCGGTCGATTGGTCAATATAGGCCCTTCAGTCACGGCTTCTAAATGTATGCGGAGTGGTTCCTGTTCGGCGAGAGGGTCGTCATCAATGCTGAGAAGCGCCATAGACTTTCGAGCCTGGAGTCCAAGACTCCTGCAAGTCGTCACATCAAACAGCCGACGGCCCTTCCAGGTCAGATAGATCGATGGGTGTGTCTCTGGCGCAAAATCCTGGCGGTTACACCATGCCAAACGCACCTCTTTTAGACCCTGTGACATCTTGCGATGTACAAGAAGTGGGGTTGTGTTCTCGATTTCTGATGAGATCATGATTTGAACGATCGGGTCCTCAATTGGTGTGCTTGGTTGAACCGGAGGACTCGGTGTTTCAGTATGTGGAATAGTTGGGACGCGTTGCGAGACTGGAGCTTTAGGGGATTCGACCTTTGCAGGTGGCACAAACGAAGAGATCTCTGGGCTGTGGCTTTGGGTGGTCTCACGATCGATTGGTCCAGGAGAAGAGTGGTTTGGGGAGCTGGAGAGCTGTGGGTTCGGGATGCATTCTCCATTATCTGGATCCTTCGGCTCATGGACAACCTTTTCCTCATCGGAGATTCGACGCCGCTTCTTCGGTTCCTCTGGGAGACTGTCCGTTTTCTTTGGGTGCTGGTGTGCCTCTCGATGTGCCGCAATGATATCTGAATATGTCTGTTTGGAGCGCCGGTAAAATTCAGTGTCGGCTTCCGTTTGCTTTGCCCACGAAGGCTTTTTGAAGAAAGAACTCATGGTGAGCTGGTATAATGCAGAGAGAGGACCTGAGGTATACGAAGTAGAGCTTGCATGATGTCGGAATAGGGAAAATGAGCAGTGTCCGCAACAATTCAACTCACACCGCCTTCGTGTCTGCATCTCACTTTCGGCTTCTCTACCGGTGCTTGACATCAACCTTCTCAGTATGTCTCTCTTCTTGGCCTTGATACCTCTCTATTTGCTGACTTTGGAATCCAGATAGTTTTGCGATTCCGTTATCATGGAGAACGGCCCATCTTCCGAGGGAAAGGACCCCTCAGTCTTCCTGAGCGAGATCACCGGTGCACCCGTCATCGTGAAACTGAACTCCGGTGTTGTTTACAAAGGTCAGTGATCTCCTCTCTCTCTCTCTCTCTCTCTCTCTCTCTTTCCTTGGAGTGAATATGTTGTTGATGGCTATCCAGGCGAACTACAATCGGTCGATGGCTACATGAACATCGCCCTCGAAAAGACCGAGGAGTATGTTAATGGAAAGCTACGACGGAACTATGGAGATGCCTTTGTGCGCGGAAACAACGGTGCGTTACTCGATATCTTTGACTTGATTATATGGGGTTCTAATGACTAGTGTAGTACTTTACATCTCCGCGAGCTGATGCGAACCAACGACTGTTCTCGATGCCACCGATGACCGAATTTTGATCCGGTCTTAGTTAATGATCTATTGAAGAAAAAAAGAGACAACGAGGGACCTTGCTTTAATCAACCGGAATATAACCTTGAGCCTATTGGACACACCGAGCTTGGTATCTGAGAAGACAAGTCTCGATGCAAAGGGACTGACACCTCGAGTCGCATGATCGTGGGCTTGCGCACCGCACCTAATTTTCTGTTTCTCGCATTGCACTCTCTCGAAATTGGACAAGGTCTCTTGTTACTTGTTTTCCGGGATGTTGTTGCCCTGGGCCTTCTCCCCCCATCATGGCATAGTAATAACAAGTGTCCCTGCATCTTGTCAATTGCAAAGATCTCTTGCCCAACTCACTGGAATTACTAGGCCAGACCTATTGACCTATCGACATATCGATTTGTATAGAACCCGGTATATGTAGACCGTTCGGGGTCGCTTATTAATTTCACCCCGCCATCTTTTTTTCTTGTAATCTTCACCCACCAACATACAAACATACAAACATACAAACATACAAAGATGTTACAGGCAATCAAATACGACAAGGGAAACCTTGAGATCTTGGATCAATTACAACTTCCCTTTATCGAAATATTCATTCCCATTCGGTCCACAGAAGATGGATGGCACGCTATCAAGGATATGAAGGTCCGAGGCGCACCGGCCATTGCTATCGTCGCAATGCTTGCACTGGCCTCGGAACTGTCCTCGGCCGTAGAAGCCAGCAAGCTTCCTCAGTCGGCCGAAGACGTGTGCCAATACATTTCGACCAAGCTGGCCTACCTGGTGACAAGCAGACCAACTGCGGTCAACCTGAGTGACGCTGCTCACAAACTAGAGACCCTGGTTGTGAACCGCGCCAAGGTGCCTGGGGCTCTTGGGAGCGATGTTGCGGATACATTTATGCAGGCTGCAGAGGCGATGTTGGGAGATGACTTGAAGGACAATCAAAGAATCGGGCAAAACGGTGCCGAATGGATCGCCAAGTACGCCGTCAAGTCGGGTCATTCGCAAGTCGCCGTGTTGACTCACTGTAATACCGGGTATGGAAAGATGAATGCCTCATGATCATGAAGTAAACTAACTTCTGCTTTGATAGATCCCTAGCCACATCGGGGTATGGTACCGCATTGGGTGTGGTTCGTTCGCTGGCTGCAAATAACACTCTACGACATGCCTATTGCACAGAAACCAGGCCTTATAACCAGGGATCCCGTCTGACGGCTTTTGAATTGGTTCACGATAAAATCCCAGCTACCCTCATCACGGACTCTATGGCAGCCGCGTTGCTTGCGAATGCCGATGTGGGAGTGGGTGCGATCGTTGTGGGGGCTGATAGGGTGGCAGCTAACGGAGATACGGCAAACAAGATTGGCACCTATGCGTTGGCTGTCTTGGCTAGACACCATGGGGTCAAGTTCCTGGTTGCCGCCCCGCGTACCACTATTGATCTAGCCACCAAATCAGGCCGGGAGATCGTCATTGAGCAACGGCCAGCATCCGAGGTGACCAGCATCAAAGGACCTCGGAGCGGTGCTGAGAGCATCGATGGGGCATCTATCGAGAGCGTACAGATTGCGGCACCAGGGATCAACGTCTGGAATCCAGCATTCGACATTACACCCGCCGCTCTGATTGATGGAATTGTCACAGAGGTCGGCGTGGTAGAGAAAGGTGCCGACGGGCAGTATCACTTGGATGGACTATTTGATGGTTCCTCGCTCTGACCCTGACCTTGTCCGGATTGGCTTTGGGTGCCCTGTGGAGTAGCATCCATGTGTGATGTAGAAGCGTCTTTTTCTTCGAATGCGGCTAAGAGGTCGTCGACTCTCCCTTCAATCGCATTCAGGCTCGTTTCTAGAGCTGATGCTGTCATCTCGCCCCTGTAGTGGAACTGTTAGCTGATGAACGTATGGCGATCATATGTCAAGTGTAGACATACTTCGCGATATCTGCAAGTGCCTATATAAGTGATCGAGGATTAGCTATGTGCAGTCTGAGGGTAGAAGCAACCAGAACAGAGTCGATGATCGGAAGTAGTTTCTCAACACTATGCCAAAAGAAAAGAAAAGGACTTACCTGGGAGATGTCGAAATGGGGGCCTGAGCTGGACATGATGTTAACGTGGGGTTTCGAAAGGTCGGAGGCTGTTGACAGAGACAGGAATTTGCCGGCCCTCACCGATGGTCTGTGCTCCGTTTCGCTATAATTACGGAAGCAATAATCATGTCACCGTGTGAAGCCACAGTACTTCTCCATTGAGATTCTGCCCTGGAAATCTGCCTCTGTTCCTGTATTTATGTAACGAATGCACGGTTCTAGGTGTACGACCTGTCAACCCGGCAGGAGATTCAGGAGGGAACGGCTATCGATTCGTATGCGAATCGATCGTCTTACGCAGGGAAGTCGGATTTAGGATTATAGGTTTGGGGATACACTCGTAGTATATTCAAAGACTGATTCTTGCAGAAAGAATCAGGGCCCGGGAAAGGGTCCCTTCTTCTACTGCAAGGATACCCGGATGGCGGTGACTCGTGAGCTAACTGTCAAGGGGCGGAGCGGGATCAGATTCGGATAAGGCTAGGAGCAGACGCGGACAGACAGACAGACAGACAGACAGCAGGGTACAGAATGGAGACAGGACGTAGCTCGAAGAGCTACAACAGGATCAGGAACAGTACGGGTTGAATACAGGAACAGAGGCGGACAGTCATGGCAGAATCCAGGCTAAGAAGTATTGTGGTTTCACATTGTAATAGTACTCTTCTCTTTAAGATTGAGTTTTGTTGAAATCTAGGAAGAATATAGTTAAGATTTATTAAAATAGTGTTATGGTGTGAAGCCGCAGTACTCTTTAATCTGGATTCTACTATAACTGTCTGCCTCCGTTCTTGTATTTAAGCTATATTGTTTCTGATTCTATTATAGCTCTTTAAATTATATTCTATTTCTATTCTGTATTCTGTTGTTTATTTGTTTGTTTATATCTATTTCTAGTTTTATTTTGTTTTTAATATTATATTTTTTTTATTAGGAATTAATTATTAATTATTATATTTATTGAATTCTTTAAATTTTTTAAGAGAATTAATTAGTTTATTTTTAGATTTCTTTAAATATAGATCGAATATATTATTTGAATTTATATTTTTATAGTTGTTATTATAGAAGAATATTATAAATCAAAAAGTTTATAAGATTTTTATTTAATAATTATTAAATTTTAATAAAAAAATTCTAAACTTTAATAAGAAAATATTTAAATTTTAATTAAAAAGAAGTTAATATATTAAAAAGAATTATATAAGAAAATATAATATTAATTAATTAATATTAATTAATTATTATTATTATTATTATTATTATTATTATTATTATTATTATTATTATTATTATTATTATTATTATTATTATATTCTCTATTAAAATCTATAAAACTATTTTAATAAAAATATTTTTATTATCTACTAATATTTCACAATATAAGACTGCAGTACTCCTCAGCCTGGATTCTATCATAACTGTCCACCTTTGTTCTTGTATTTAAACTGTATCATTCCTGATCCTGTTGTAGCTCTTTTAGATTTCCACACCAACCCCAAAAAACCAGACCCAACCCGGACCCAATCCCATATAATGGGTGTACAGACACAGGCGTACTACCTGTTAACCTAATAGTAGACTAGAAGAGGAATCACTATTGAATTGTGGGTGATTCGATTATCGTTGGTAAGGGAGTAAGAATCCAGAAGTATTTCCACAATAGATATAATAGTATTCCAAAACTGATTCTTGCAGAAGGGTAAGGGTTTGGAAAGGTCTTCTCTTTATATTGTAAGAATAGTATTAGTATAATTAGATAGATAATCATTCTATATTATTTATTATAAAATAAATCTCTTATAGAGGTTAGTTCTTTTAGAAGAAGTATATACTTTCGGAATAGAGATATAATGAAGATTGATGTTTTAGGATTCTTGTATAGTAGATATAGATAGTATATTTTTATATAATAGATATAGATAGTTTGCTTTAGATATATTATAGAAGATTTTTTGTTAATATTTATTAAATTATATTTATTTTTGTGAAGGTTGAAGAGGGTAAAAAAGATAAAGGAGACTTATTCATATGAAAATGAATAAAAGAAGAGTGGGAAGGTATTAAAATTATTTTATTGGGATAATATTGTAATATTATAGTTATATTATCATATTATTGTATTAGAAGTTTTATATTATATAATAGGAATTCATAATTAGAAGTTTTGTAAATTTTCATAACTTTCGAGTTAGAGCTTAATTAAAATTTTATTTTCAAAGCCAAAAATAAATTATTTCCTTTTGTGGATTTTAACTTCTGTTAATTTTGTATAGTAATATTATAGTAGAATTTTATGTATAGGTTATCAAAGTTAGTAATATAATTTTATTCATAAAGATATTGAATTATTAAATAAGATTTCATAATTTGATAATTAGAGCTTAATTTTCACTTTTGTAAAAATTCTTAAAATTATTCTTTGTGTTGTATTATAAATTGTTTGTATAATTTTCTTATGATATTTATAGTATTCTTTATCATATTTGATAGTGGTTTTTATTGTATAAATTCATTTTGTAATTTTAAATGGTGATTTTGATATTTGACCATAATTAAATTTTATTTTTGGTTTTTAGTAAAATTGGAGATATCATCATAATTGTTAATTCAATAAAAAATTATAAAAATATAAATAATAATTTAAAGTTTTTATAAAGTTTATATCTAAAGATTTTAAACTTTTAATATACTAAATGATTCTAAATATATTTTTTAATATCTATCTATATTCTTAATTAATAGAAATTCTATTATAGAAATTCCTTAATCTTTGTTTAACTAAAATAATCTACGATTAGATTATTATGGTATATTTTTAGCAACCTCATCTAAAATCTTACTTTCTTAAAAATTAAAGTTTTTAAATAAAATTATAAAATTCCTAAATTGTTAATAAACCAACTTTTTATTCTTTTTTCTTTAAAGTTGATTTATCTATATTTCAATTTTTAGTTATTTGACTAGACTTATTTTACTTTAATAAAAATATTTTCTTTAGATTAAATATTGAATATTTAAATATTAATTATATTTTTATTATAAATTTTTTTTAGAATATTAAGATTATTATATAAGCAATCTTATTTAGTAGCTATAGTTATACTTTTAGTAAGATCTTTAAATAAATTTCAATTATTTAAATCTTCATTAAAAATCTAAATACTTAAGTTGTAATTAGAAAAACTTTTATTAATATAAAATATTAATATAATTTGACTAATCTTTTTTTTAAAAAATTTATTAATAATTCAATCTTATATTATAAATAATAAATCTATTCCTAGTTTAGTTTACTTAAAATTTAGAATTCTAAATATCTATTTATAGAATTCATTTTATCTATTCAATAATAGATTATAAACTCAAATAATATTAAATATATATACTATCTAACTTATTTTCTATTTAATTTAAATTATAATATAAAAATCTATAAATTAATATAATTAAAGAATATTTTTATTAGATATTTATTTCTATTTAAATAGTATTATTAATATTTAAGTAAATATATAATAATAAATAACTTCTAATCTAAAATACTATAATTCAATTCTAATCTAATAAATTTTCTAAATTAAAATACAATTAATTTTTAGATATTGTTTTTATTAAACTAAAATAATAAATCCTCTATACTCTAATTACTTATATTAATTTTTATTTATAAACATTTCTTAAAATTATAATAATATAATAAAATTACTTCTATAAAAGTTTACTTTAAAGTTTTAAAAACTCTTTATTAAATATTATTTAGCTATATTTTTTCTAATTTTTTATTATTTTTATTCTTTTTTAACATTAAAATTAATAGAATAATGATTTTAAAATATTCAAAGATAAATCTATAATAGAAGCTATAGAATCCTAAAAAGACCTATATTATATAATATAAATTAAATTCTTCCTAAACTAAAATTATTTCAACCTATTCTTTCTCTATTTTTATACCTTTTTTATTAACTATAAAACCTAAAAATTTAATTTTATACTAACAGAAACTATATTTTAACAATTTAATATATAAATTATATTTTTAGAACTATTAAAAAACTTATTTTAACATTATAATAACTTTTATAGTCTTTACTAAAGATTATAATATTGTCCAAATGATAAATATATATTATATGAAAGAAATCCTATAAAATAAAATATATATAACTCTAAAATATCACTAATATATTAATAAATCTAAAGAATATCACTAAATATTCAAAATAACTATATTAAATTCAGAATACAATTTTCTATTCATTATCTTCTTATATACAAATTTAATAGTATACATCTTTCAAATCAACTTCACTAAAATAGTTTAACCCTAACAAACAATTTAAAATCTTCAAAATAAAAGATAAAGAATATCAATTCTTAACCAATATCTTATTAAATCCCCAATAGTTAATATATAATCAAAATATATTATCTTTCTTTAAAAAAAAAAGAATTAATACATCTACTAGACTTTTAAAATACTAAATTAAACTCTTATTCATACTATCTACAAAATAGATCTACAACTTCTTTAATTTATTATAAAAAATAAATTAAATTAAACCATAAAATACTTTGAAACCTTCTTTAAAATCAATTCAATAACTAATTTCTTAGTTCAATA